TATATATATATATGCTACAGTACCCTTACCTAAATTACCTTGAATATTCGTAACCTTAGCTAGCTTTCTCCTTCAAGAATCAATCTTTTCATACGGCAAGAAAATCCTAGCTATCTAGGGAAATTTTTTCGTTTTGAGTTCAAGATCTTTACGGGAAAGAAGAAGAAATCAAATGGGTGATCAAGGAAGCTGGAGGATTACAGGTTTTCGTTTCAAACCAACCCAACAAGAACTGATGTTTCTTTTAAAGAATAAGGTTGAGGGCAAGGAAATCTCAACCCTCACGGATTCGGTTGTTGAGAAAACCTTGTACGGCGGCGAGGGGACCGAGCCATGGAACGTGTTTTCCGACGTCGATGAAGACAAATGGGACTTCTACGACGAATCGTTGGCCGCCACGGATTCGAAACGGGTCGTTTACGTCCTTACCAAGTTATCCAGCATGAGCGAAAAGAAGAAGTCAAGAACCGCGGGTTGCGGTACATGGGAAGGACAGAATCAGAAGCAGGTCCGCGACGGCGACAAGATTTTGGGCTACGTGAGAACTTTAAATTACGTGGTTCCGGATAAATCCGTTGGAGTAGGGAAAGGTTCGTGGTACATGCATGAATATTCACTCTCCAAAGAGTCCTTGAAAGGGCTAGGGTTTTGCGACCCTAGTACTAATGATTACGTGATTTGTCGGGTTATAAGAAAGATGGCCGACGACTCAAAACCTTGTCGTGGTGTAAAGCGAAAGAACGACAATCATCAAAGTGCTCCGGCAGTCGACGGCGCCGGCGAACCGATTTCAGAGCAACAACATTGCTATGGTGTAACAACGACGGAATCAAGTAGTTATGACTATGGAGTTTTCAATGGTGATTATCAAATGGGATCGAGTTACTCTCAAATGATTAATGGAGACTATCCTCCAATGGAGCCAAATAATTATTTCCATAATTATGAAGACCCTGGACATGGTGCTATGAGTTGTGAATATGCGACAAGTGATTATGGACATTCAAGCTTCTCGCAAAGCTATAGTGCTGGCTGCAGTTATGTTGATGAACTAAATAACCTTCCACCGGAGAATAATTTGTCAGACTGGATCAGTTTCTGAAACCTGAAGATGATCGTCTCACTCAATCATCGGGGCCAATACGCGTTTCGGAGGAAACATTAGCATTTTGCTCCTGCTGAAAACCATTATTACTTGCGTTTTTTTGGAATCCGCAGGGTACGAATACGGAAGGTGGAAGCTCTTGTAAGTTGTAACATGTGTGTGTGTGTGTTTTTTTCTAATTAGAATGGTTTCTTTCATAAAAAATAATTCACTCTGTAATTAAAATTAAAATAATATAACAAAGTATATAATTTAGCACTCAAATAGATTACCTTATGAAAATCTCTAAGCATGTCAATCCAATGTACTTTTTCTCCAACAAACATCCACACATTTGCTTTTGTGTTGCCACACAATAGTTAACAAGATCAACTAACTCTTATTTTAAGAGTAAGCATAATATGTGCTAGTTTATCCGTATTAACAATATCCTATCTTGTTAATACTATGACTAGGGATGATTTAAGAATAACATATAAGTATGTGAAAAATCTCATTATCATAACTCTTATGATTTCTTCAATACAAATATTATTTTAGGGATTTTACCAGTCATTTATGCAATTAACCATGTAAAATGAATGATAAAGAATTCTATATGTTCATATTGAATAAAATATTAAGAAATACCAAGATTAATTGGTTTTTGTCTAATAAAATCTCCCACTTGGACTAAAACCAACTGATAAACACATTTATCATGAGAGAAAATATATTCAACTAGGATTTCTATCTGGAATCATTGATCAAGTACCAAATGATAAAACCACATACATCACTGGATCATTGATGAGACAGAATTTTTCCAAATGATGAAAATAACTGAAATTCAATAAAGAACTTCTTGATCCAAAAATGTTCTAAACCTTTTTAGAAACTTTGATGTAATGGCATAAGTTGTAACGACAATATACTATTTCTACTTGGAACACTTCCAACATGTAATACTATTACTAAAAGTAAAAACATGCAAATTGTTATCATCTTCGAAAGAGAGATTAACATATGTATAAATCTACGATGATCAGGCTAATGAGAATATTTAAATTCTCTAGTATCATGTAGCGACTTTCACTATGAGTTATTCAATATGCTCGTGACACTTCAAGCATAATATCTAAGGTCTAGTACTTATATATGTTGACAATCTAGATCCAATAGTAAAACTATATGGAAATAGCGGTACAATAAGTACATACTAAACAACTTTAGTATTACATAGACCAAACAATATTTACAATCTATTCACATAGATCATGACTTTCAAAATCCGGATTGCTATTCTTAACTCTTAAGAATAATAAATAACGCAATGATAATTAAACTATGAATTAATCAAGGAACTTATTTTCTTTCTATACATTATGTCACACATAAAGTAATAGAAAATAAACTCAATTCTCCCACTCAAGAAACTGAATACACGAGACATTCAATGATTTTGACAAAGTCAACCACGTTTACAAGCTTCTGAAAAAAGGAAACTTTTGTTTAGGACTTCCTTTACAAGCTCTGACTCCATAAGTAGCAATGATGGCCCTGATCCAGTCCATGTGTAGCAAATTAGCAATTTTCACCTGCAATTCATTTGACTCCATCGTAATTCAAACTACAATCTGATGAATTGATTCATTAGAAACCCTTTTTGGGATATTCTCCGATTATATCAGCCCACTGAAATAGAAGTTCATGAAGTATTAAGAAGTACTGGTGAAAATAGGGAGCAAAACAAACCAAAACCACATACCATATTTGCTGTGGATTTTATTGCTGAAGGGGATGACTCTGGGGACAATATTCCCTCTTTCTTGAGATGATTATCCAGCTTCTTGGGTTTAAAGCAGACCCAGATCAAGATTCCATCCTAAAATCACCACAACAGTTTGGTAAAGGGTTGAAATGTTGGAATGCCAGAAAATGTTGCCGTCATGGGAGAGCTTCGAAGAACCCCGGCAGCGGTCAAGGGTTGAACAGTTGGAACGCGGGTAATTGTTGCCATCATGGGAGAGCTTCGGATCCTCACCCAATGGTAATTATTGTCAGTAATTGTTGCCGGTAATTAATTGTTTGCAGCACCTCATCCCAATGGGCACTCTTTTATAGGACCCCAAGATCCAACTTCAATGAACAAGCAAGTTTTACCTACAACTCCGTCACCACCGGTGATGCACTCAGATGCCAATGATGCCACAGTCAAACGTATACCAGAGCTTTCCAAAGTCACAATCTGAACTTGCAAAGGAGCTGGTGGAAATAAATCACACAAAGTTTGCAGAAACAATTCGGATGATACTCATTGAAGAGGATCCGAAATTAGGGACACGAGTTATTCTATCACTCACACGCAGAAACACACACCAATGAGAAGTTCTCATTTGTTTTTCTATTCATGATTTATCTTCCGCAATGCATTTCATTAACAATAAATAGATGACACCAAAATCAAAAGTAAACCAGTTAAAAGTTCTTTACAGTTTGTGATACTGAAAAATTCGCCTGATGGATATTGAAATTTCAGTGTGAAGTACCTTGGTTTACCGAATGAACACTTATGCGAACCATGGAAGGAATGAACAAATCTAATCCACCGTAGTAATTATTCTCAGAACAAAGGCAGGTTTCCAGAAGCCCTTTGCTGCAAAAATCATTTAAAAAATCAATAAACACCTGGATGCACAAGTAAGAACATAAGAAATAAAAAATCAATCATCACTGAGTAAATTATCCAAATGAATGACCTAATTAAAACCACAAAAGATTCGAAAGCGATAGAAACACTTGAGCTCGTAAATCAATACCTTTGGAAGAAATAATAATAAGTGTTGGCGAGCGGGCTGAGAATCGCCGGAGGAAGATCTCTTCGAAAATCAAACCCCACAAAAGGCTCCATCCGCTAGTCAAAACTCCAAAAGGCTTCATACCGCTATCTTAAATTTTCGTTTCTGGCCAAAACATTGCTCCGATTTTCTTAACCCTAATAGAATTAACAGTCAGAACAAATTTCCTAATTGAATGAAATCCTAAGAGAATTGGAAGTTACCATGATTTTGGGACAAATAAAAAATAGTAAAAAATAAATAAGCAGAAGAGAATAATAATCGGCCGGATGTTGGTTGAATTTTTTGGGGAATAACAGAAGAAGGACTATGTGATAGAGTATTCATATTTTCTTTTTTTTCGGAAAAAAAAATTCTAAACGACGTCGTTTGTAAACCCTGAGAAACATAAAATCAACGCGAAAGTGGAGTGCCTATCGTACGGTGGAGATCTCATCTGGGATTAATATTTTATGCAGTATCATTGGCGGGAAAGGGCTATGGGCCTATGGGCAAAGACTGGATCATTCTCTGGATGGAATGAAAGTTTGGGTCGTCACATAATTTTGTTTGGGTTCTCCATCTCTCATCATTGTGGTAACACAAAACAGTTCAATTTTGATCAAATTAATTAGGATATTTACCTCCAGGTTCAAATCCTTGAGTGGACTCGTGACAATGATTGGAATATTGCTACTTATTGGAATTTTTATTTCCTGAAACAGAGATTAATGTAATTTTATGATTTATAGTAGTCTGAAAACTCTTCATTCCTATCCATCGAGATACATACTAGTGTTTTTGGACACCGGATCCGCAATGGAACCGAGAGAGAGAGGAAAAAAAAATACTCTCTCTATTCACAAATAAATATCGTTGGAGAAAAAAAAATAAATATTCCAAAATAGATGTCATTTTCACAAATCGAGGCATGTTTTGCCAATTTTCTCTAATATTATCCTTATATTGAAAATTGTAATAATTTTTAATGTATAATGATATTAGAATTAAATATTATTGAGATTACAATTATATTAAAAATAAATAGAAACAAAATAATTATTGTCTTCTCAGACTTGGTAAAATCTCCTCCGCAACATCGGAGGGGTACTAAAAAAGTAGTACTAATAACAGGCCGTTGGGTTAGCTGACCAATTTCCAAGGTAGATTTTCAATGGTGCGACTGCGGAAAGTGATAATGACACTTCAACTGTTCTTCTCTCCCTTGTTCACAAAGAAAATGCAAAATGGGCCATTTTTCTTGAAAAACCTGTTCAAACTAATGACACAATAAGGTGAATAACCCTTCCCTATATAAAACCCATCACAAAGCTCCACTCTTTCCTTTGCATAATATTCAGAGTCCCTACATTTCTCTGGTTATATATTTCCCGATCTAGATGTATCCAGCTGTACCGGATGAATACCAAAAACCGGTGGGGCAGCCATCGGCTCCACCGTATGACGATCCTCCGGCCACCGGGATACCAGTGATACCACCGCCATCAAACTATGCATACGCCGACAACTCTGGAGCACCACCACAACCGCCGCATCCGTATATTCCGTCCGGGTCGGCGCCCGGGAATTGGTCAACGGGTCTATGCGATTGCTGCTCCGATTGTTCAACTTGTAAGTTGTTAATACTAGCTTCTTACTTTTCAATTCCAAATTATTGGAGAACACATTTGCGAACCATCGGCTTAATTAATTTAATTAACGAATAATTTTTTTTGTTTTTAATGTAACTCATTTTTTCAACTTGGGAATTAATTTGTGCAGGTTGCATGACTTGTTGCTGCCCTTGTATAACATTTGGACAAGTTGCTGAAATTGTTGACCGAGGATCAACATGTAAGTCACCAAAATTAATTAGTACTTCTTCTTCCGTCCCAAAAATGATTGTTACTAGGTTAATAATTGCTTATGATATTTGTATGAATGAATGAATTTTGTTTTGTGTGGGTGTGGATTTGTTGTGGGCAGCTTGTGTAATAAGTGGGTTGCTTTACGGGCTGCTGTGTCATTTCACGGGGTGTGCTTGTGTGTATGCGAGCTTCTACCGAACCAAAATGAGGCAGCAATACAATTTGCCAGAAACCCCCTGCGCTGATTTTCTAGTCCATTGCTGTTGTGAATGTTGCGCTTTGTCACAAGAATATCGTCACCTCAAAAGCCAGGGCTTTGAATTGTCGCTTGGTAATTATACTTCCTTTTCTTTTTTCCAGGTTCCATATGCGTGATCTATTCATTTGTGATTTGTGGCTTTATCATGAATTGACCCTTATTACTCTTCTGTTGACTTCACTATAATAATATGTTACGTCACCTTATTTTTTCCCCCCGTTATTGTGTGTTTTGAGGTTTTAAAATTGTCATCATCATTAGAATAAAGTTTTGGGTTGGATGTGGGATTTTGCAGGATGGAGTGGAAATATGGAAAAGCAAAACCGTGGACTGACAATGTCACCAATTGTCCCACATGGAATGAGTCGATGAACGCGGGATTGATTATTACTCTCTCTCTCATAGATATAGTTTGGATTGTTAAACGGTATTTCCTACCGTCAAAATAATAATAATAAAAAAAAAATTAGCACTAGTATTTGTAATTTCTTTGTAGTTGTGCATTTAGCAGGTTCTCCTGGAGCTGCTTTAATTTTTTTCTTGGGCTTAAAAATCTATTAAATTCCCTGTACTCGACTATGCTATGTACACATTCTACCTCATTTGTTATTGCTGTTGTTGGGATGACTTTAAATGTTTTTTTCCCCCCATTATCTTTAGAGATCAAAGTCATAATCCTTATGCCCCAAGATAAGAAATGGGTCCCCTTTGTTGCAGACTTCCATTAAGAATTCTTTGGATGGAAGGGTATGTCAGTATTAATCTTCTAGAAAAGAAAAGGACAAAGTTGAAGCCTCAAGGTTTTTTGAGACTTGAGGTCCAGGGTTTGGTTTCATTCTTTAGTCTCCGGTCAAATGGATTGTCAAAAGTGATTAATCATCATAATAGTTGAAAAATGTCAGATGGTTAATAAACACCTGCAAATCGGAGCATGGATTAATTTTGGAAATCTGTGGGAGGAAAGGATAATGAGAGGCGCAGACTGCAAAGAACTGTAAGGGACAAGAAAGTAAGCGAAAAGGACATGTCACTAAGAAAATGGAGGGGGGAAAAAACACATAGAATCATGTATAGAAAAACATCCTGAAATATGATTAAGATGGAAGAATGAGCAATCAGAAATTGTGCCAGAACTTGAAATTTGACAGGAAGCATGCAAAGTCAGTTGCGTGGTTTGGCTTAAACTTTGGCCGCAATATTACTTTCTCAGTTTCTCTGCTCTCTTCTATTCTGAGAAGTTCAGGAGATAGTAAGTAGAAAGAGTTTTCTAACATAATGGAAAGCCAAGACAGAATCCAAATCTAGATGTTGATTGAGCCTTTGTTTGTCGCAGTTTGGAGTCTAAATTAACTTGAGTAGTCTCGTCATCTGTGGATTTTCCAGAAAACTCTTATGCTCCTCATTTTAATTAACCAACAGACGTAAACGGCTAATGTAATTTTGAAGGTGAAACGACTATGCCCCAAGGTCTAAAGATTGTGCCGAAAACGGATGGATGTGCACTTTTATGCTTATTCTTAATACATAATGTCAATCATTTTGTGATGGAGGGAGTAACATTCTTTGGCAAAAGCCGCAAAACACAGTCTTTTCCTGGTTTATAGAGATTGATGAGCTATTGATAAGAAGACATCCAAATGGTGATTATGTTGAAGTCTTTCTCATGAATATAGAACACTGGACTAGATCAATCATAATTTACAGCAAATGACTTCAGTCTCTGAGCAAATATGGACATCTTCAACGTAAGAAGAAAATTCATACAACTGATCAAATTGAAGCGGAGGACCTGCCTGGAATTCGTACACTGTTTGTTAGGTGATTCAAAGAATATACTAGTCAAAGATCTTCAGAAGTTACAAAACGAGGATTCAATGGTAGACGATTCACCTGTCTCCTTCAAACTCTCCAAAAGATGTGAATATGATCGGACTTTCTTCCTTGTGCTCTGATGGAAAATTTATCACTCGGAAAATGAAATACCCGAAATCTCTTTGATGCGCGTCGTCACATCTTTCATTGATGGTCTCTTGTGAGGGTATTGGGATGTGCACGAAATCGCAAGATGTAAAAGTTGCACCATTTGCTCCTCGGAAGCGTCCTGATGCTTTAGCAGCTCAGGATCAAAGACTTCAATAGTCCATTTCTCTTGAACAACTGATTTAGCCCATTTAGGCAGGTCAATTCCTTCATCTTCAAGAGCTTTTGTGGGTTCTTTACCAGTAAGTAATTCCAAAATAAGCACGCCAAAACTGTAGACATCTGCCTTCTGGGACACCTGCCGAGAATCCACCACTTCTGGTGCTTTGTATCCCAACAAGTTGGAAGTTGGCAATGGGGAAACAAGTTTTGATATGCAGTATTCAGAAACACATGCATCATAGTACTGTTTGAGGAGAATGTTGGAGGACCTGACATTTCCATGGCTTATATTCCATCCAAGGGAATGTATATACTCCAAACCAGAAGCAGTCCCCAAAGCTATCCTGATCCTAACTACCCAAGTTAAGGATGTTCTGTCTGCATCTCTTATTCCTGCAATACATTACAGTATTACACCCCAGTAGGAGAAAAAAAAAAACTATTAAATCACTTTATTATCATGCACAATCAAAACAGAATGTCAAAGCAATAAAATTCTAAATATCCATTGTCCATTGACATAATTGATGCCTAGATCAATTAACCTGGTGTTTGAATACTCAAAGGGTAGTCCTTCCACCCCCAAAATGTCCCAAAATGATTGTCAAGCTTGTTGCAGTACAAACTTATTTTTAGATGACGGGAATAGGGAGTACGCTTGAGTGAAACTAATAACTGAGAGAAAAAGTTAAGTGCTACTTTACAGTGATCATGCATAATCAAGATTGAAGAGCATTAGAAAAAAACCATACTTTGCAACAGGTAAAAAAGACAAGTCGACAAGAATCGAGCAGGAACACTAATGCACATATGGAAAATCATATAGAAGAAATTTCAAAGGCTTACCATGTAAGAGAGAATGCAAGCTTCCCATAGGCATGGATTCAAAGAGGAGAAGCTTCTCATCCCTGCCATAGAAGTATCCTACAATAGGCACCAGGTTCTCATGCTTCAAAGCTCCTAACTGTTCAATTCTTTCCATAAATTCCTGCTGAGAGACGCATACATTTTTAACCCTTTTGACAACAACTTCATTGCCCATGTCAACATAAGCTTTATAAGTAGTTCCAATGTTCCCCTTCCCTAATACCTCAGCAGAAGCTCTCAACAGTTCCTCCAACCCGAATTTTTCAACTCTGTTCCCAACAAATACTATGTCAGTATTTCCAATACCATTACTGGTGTCACCACCTTGCTGAACCCTTCCACTCGGAGGACCCGATGAAGCCTTATTTGGCCCGTAATTATATAAATTATCTCTTCCTATGAGAGGCCTAGGACTTCTGAAATCATTTTGAGGGAGCTTCTTAGGTATTTTTGGCTCATCATTCTGCCTGGAAGGTCGACCTTTTCCGAATTTTCTCCATAAGAAAAGAATCAATAACAAAACCAAGATAAACCCAATAGATGATCCTACTGCAATTCCGGCTATGGCTCCACCGGAAAGTTTACTCTTACTCCTCCCGAGATCAGGGCATGCATTCAAAGGCCCATCACAAAGTGAATTTCCCAGAAAAGATTGGGGAGAAAAGTCTTTTAATCTAGAAGGAATTGAGCCCGTCAAATTATTGAACGAAACATTAAATTCTCGTAAATTAGACAAGCTATTCAACTCCGGAAGTGGACCATTGAACTGGTTACTTTCCAAATACAGAGTTCTTAAATTGCCCAAATTGTTGAAATCCGGAGATATAACTCCCGAAAGATTATTATGAGCAAAATTGACACGGAAAAGATTCCTCAACTGAAAGAACCCTTGTGGAATCTGACCTGAAAATCCGTTATCATGCAGATAGAGGTACTGTAGATTAGAACAGTTGCCCAAATCGGACGGAATGTTCCCAGAAAGGGAGTTGTGCCGGAGACTCAGGGTTCGAAGCTCCGTCAAACTTCCGATGGTATTCTCCGGTAACTGACCGGAAAGACCCGCCCCGGGTAAACGGAGGGCAACGACCCGATTAGTGGAGTTGCTGCAATTCACCCCTTGCCACACGCAGGGGTTTGGACTGGAGGCGTTCCATCCACGCGTTCGGCCGCCGACGGCGGCTTGAAGGCGGAGAAGGGCGGCTCTGTCTGCTGATAAATCAGAGAGTATGGCCGGAAGACATGAAAGCGCCAAGATGATGACGAAGAAGAGATGATGATGACGAGGCATCACCATTTCGAGAAATGTTAGTATGAAAAACGTTGGACTTTTTTTGGGTTTTGAAAACGTTTGATTTTTGTGGGAAAGAAGAACTGTAGAAAGGGGTTTTTATTAATTAAAGGTTTGAACTTTGGAGTTTGATTTGGTCAATTCTTACTAACTAAATATGGTGTTTTATTTGTTCTTTTGTTCCGCGTGGAGCCATCTGAAATTTGGTCCGAATCCAGAACAGAATGAGAGATTGTGGACTTTGGATTGACTTAATTAAAGTATATTTATTGGGTAATTAAGGTTAGGTAAATGTCCATGGAAATCTGAATCATACACTGAAAATCTGTTATTAATTTGGAGGGATTCCAGTGTTGGGAAGTTCGGCATGCATAATAATAGTTGAAGTTGAATTTTCATCAAGGTTCTTATGAGAAAAAAAGAAAATTAAAAAAAAAAAAAAAACTACTAGTCAGATCAATATTAACATTGACAAAATTAGGCCGAATGGATCAAACTGGGAAAGGTCTAACCTTATGTTAGTGCAATCCCACTCGACAAGTTAAGAGCACTGTAATACTCTCCCATTATAGTTGTATAGTGTTTCATTAGATAAATTTCTATATGTTCACAATTTACTCCCTCCGTCTCATTATTATTGTCCAGTTTGTTTGTATTTTTATTTCTAGTTCAAATTATACTAAAAGTGAAATTTCAAACTGAACAATAATTTTGAGACAGAGAGAGTATTAAAAAAATGTTATCATTGTGTTTTTTTCGTGTTGATCCGATTCTCTATATCTTTAGTCATCTAACTGTTGTTTTCTTTAAAAGAAAAACAAGAAGAAAATCACTGAAAATGCAATCAAAAAATCAGTCAGTCTCCGCCACATTTTGATTAGTTAGTAATTTCGTATGTACTTTTTGTAATGGGTACGGATTTTATAGCAAAAAAATGGAAGAGACTTGAATGTCTAATCAAGAAAATTTCAGGAGCACAATTGCAAGAATGGAGTTACTATAATAAGATAGGGAAAACACTCTGGGTATGCTGCTATCCACAGGCTGAACACAAAGACATATATAGTAATTGATTCATCGATTGTACAAAGGAACCTAGAACAGAGGAATCATTGGGCAGAGTTTTCACTGCTTTTTTCAGCTTTACAGTTTCCAGTTTTGTAAAAAGCAAGATACTTGCAATAGCTTCCAGGTAAGGAGGCTAGGATACGGTGGGGTTGAGATGATAAATGCAGGTGAATTGTGATTACGAGAGATTTACAAGTTCAAATCTTGTCATCAACTAGTAAAAAGTAAATAAAACTGTAGTGGAGTGTTGCATTGCACGTCACAAAATTTGCAATTACATTATGCAAACTTTAAAATTATGGGCGAGATGTCAAACACCTCACAAAGCTCATCAATGAGTTGAATAATATTTGAAACACTAATTTGTCCTTTTTATTAATTATATTATGTCCTACCAAATGTGACCAAAATAAACGACCATATATTACACAACCATTTTAAAAAAGGAGAACATGTCCATAATGTTAATTGTTGTGCACACTCCTGCCAAAATGGATTCAAAAGCTCATCATACACAGGACACAAAGTTGCTAGGTGAAAAATTACACAATCTACACTGTAGTTGGTTTGAATGAAACAGAAAATGTCCATTTTATGTTGCTCTTTTTGCACAATAAAATACCCCAATAGGAATGAAATGTGTGTTGCAAATTGATGAGCATGTTGAACTCGTTAATATTATCTTGTTTGCCATGTGCTCTCTGCGAGCAGTAGTGGTATAAACTATAAAGGAGGTGGGTACAGATCATGGATGTGATCATGTATATGTTACGTATGGATTTTTTTGAGTTACTTATCAAACTTGGCTTCCATATCTTCTTCATCTCAAACCAGACAATTGAGAAAGGAACAGAAGTTGCTATTCCAATAATCAGCTGACATGTTTTTTTGTTGAGATATAAAGATCGGCCCCCGGCCACAATTGCATGAAAAGATAGATCTCTTATAGAGATTCTCGATTGAATGTTTCAGATAACATTTATAAGAGTAATGGTACGAATAATGAAATCAGACTGTGAAAGGACTTGATAACTGATGTAACACTGATAATTGTTCTATATTTCAACCTCTCACTTTTGTTCTATATTTCATCGTGAAAAGTTTATTCTTCTTTTTTTTTTTCAAAAAATAAAAATAAATTTGTTTGGGGTAGGTTTTTTTTATAATTATATAATAAATATACTAATCAATGAATTATTTTAGATAATGGATGAATTGGATGCATGTTTTAGTGGAACACATGGAGAATGCTTTAGCAATATGATGAAATGACATTATTCACACGATGAAGTACGGAAGCATTCTTCACATGGAAGTAGTAATTAATTGATTGGATTCCATACATGCAATTTGAGATGTTCACATGAAATTGCTTCACAAGAACGTAGTATAGAAACTTATGTAAATGACATGCTGAGTAGGAAGCACATAACTTGGACATTACATTTCATTGCCTCCATACTGTAATTCCCCCTTTGCGACGATTTTTCTCTATCGAGGTACTTATTACGTACGTACTATAAATATTGCCTTAAATAAATTAATTAAAAAAAATGATCAAATTTCTTGTTTGGTTGAACCAGGAAGTAATCTCAAGCACTGGATACATGGTAGCTCAAATTAATTCTCATTCAAATCAGATAAGTTATGTTTAGAAGACAATTAAAACTCTTATATTGAATTTCTATATTATTTGTACGTCCCGTTCACCTCTTTCCTTGGACTGAGGAAAGAAGTGTTGACTGTTGAGGAAACAACCTTGTAGTGATAAGTTAGGATCATAAATTTGAAGTAGATTTTGATCAACCCAGAAAACAATTCCGCATAATTGCATGGCAAGTTAACTGATCAAATTGACGTGGCTGCTACGCTTTAGTAGGTAACTTGAGCTAATGTACCAGAGTCCATCCTTATACTCCCTCCGTCCCATAATTATTGTCCAGTTTAAATTTTCATTTTTAGTTCAAATTATACTAAAAGTGAAATCTCAAAGTGGACAATAATTTTGGGATAGAGGGAGTATATTTTTCCCTCTAATTACTTCTACATAACATAATTTGATGAGAAATAAATTCATGAAAGAAAATGAAATCATAAATTCTATTGTGTGCAGCAGTACATTACATTGCCTCTATTTATAGGCATACATCAATATTAGTTAAGATCTAGATATTATAAAATCTGAAATAATCTAAACAAATAGAATCTAAATAATCCTAACTAATGAGATCTTTGACTAATCTTATCAGCCCCTCGCAAGCTCATGGGCGGAACAACAATGAGCTTGTCCCGAAGTTGAAGAAAAGTCTTTGTAGGCAGAGCTTTGGTCATAATATCAGCAATTTGGGCAGCGGACGGAACATGGTGAATAATAAGAGCTTTTTGACGAACCAAATCACGAACAAAGTGAATATCAATCTCAATATGTCTGGTGCGTGCATGAGATACTGGATCAGCAGTAAGGTAAATAGTTCCTAAATTATCACACCAAAGAGTAGGAGGTGATGAAGACAAACCAAGCTCACGGAGGAGAGAAGAAAGCCAACATAATTCAGCTGTAGCAAGAGCAAGACTGTGATACTCAGTTTCAGTACTTGAACGAGCAACAGTCGATTGTTTCTTAGCACTCCAAGAGATGAGATTACAACCCAAAAAAATGCAATAGCCGGAAGTGGAGTGGCGGTCATCAGGGCAACCAGCCCAATCAGCATCAGCAAAAATAGTAATTGAAAAAGGGGAACTCTTTGTAAGATGTAGGCCATGGGTAGGGGTAGAACGTAGGTAACGAATTATACGCTTAACAGCTGACCAATGAATATCAGTGGGACAATGGAGGAATTGGGACACTTTAGTAACAGCAAATTGGATATCAGGACGAGTGACACAAAGATATTGAAGAGCACCAATAGTACGCTGATACTCTGTAGGGTCAGATAAAGGTATACCATGATTTTTAGAGAGAGGTAAGGTGGGGGTTATGGGGGTAGAGACGGGTATGGATGTGTCGAAGTGAGTGCGAGTGAGGAGATCTTGAATATACTTAGATTGAGAAAGAAGAAGGCTGGTGGATGTAGATTGAGCTTCAATACCCAGAAAATAATGAAGAGAACCAAGATCTTTGATGGTGAAGGTAGAATGAAGCTCATCAATGAGAGATTGAATGAAGGAAGAAGAGGAACCAGTCACCAAGATATCATCCACATAAACTAGGACAAAAGTAGTGTGTGAGGACTTAGACAAGATATAAAGAGAAGTGTCAGATTTAGAGGAAATAAAACCAAGAGTATGAAGTTTCTGACTAAGACGGTGAAACCAGGCTCTAGGAGCTTGTTTGAGACCATATAAAGCTTTGTGAAGACGACAAACATGATATGGATATTTTGGATCAACAAAGCCTGAGGGTTAACTCATATATACATCCTCATGAAGATTACCATGGAGAAAGGCATTGTTCACATCTAGTTAACGGATTGGCCAATTTCGATTAAGAGCAATGGTGATGACAATGCAAATGGTAGTGGGTTTGATTACCGAGCTGAAAGTATCTGTGTAATCTATGTCAGGAGATTGATGGTAGCCTTTAGCTACTAAACGAGCTTTATAGCGCTCAAGAGTCCCATCGGATTTTCTTTTAGTTTGAAAAACCCACTTACAATCCACAATATTAACATTAGGAAGAGGAGAAACTAGAGTCCAGGTTTGTTGAAGAGCATTAAACTCTTCAAGCATAGCTTGACGCCAGTGAGGAAATTTATTTGCCTGAGTAAAAGAGGTGGGGTCAGGTTCAGGAGGACAAGTAAGAGAGGAAGTATAGGTAACATAATCATTTAAACGGTTAGGCTTACGATTTGTGGTACGAGTGGTCATGTGATGTCTTCGTGGTGGAGGTGGTCTAGGCGGGGAACTAGATGGTGGTGGAGGTGGTCTAGGCAGGGAATTAGATGGTGGTGGAGAAGAAAGCCTTGTTGAAGAAAGAGTTTGTGTCGTAGGATTGGAAAAAGGTACAAAAGGAGGAGGAATAGACATTGATAAAGGAAACAACACTCGTGATGATGGAGTTGGAGAGGACGTAAAAAAGTTTGAGACGTAGCATAAGGAAAATCAGTTTCAAGAAACCTTACATGTCGAGAGATGTAAAGTTTGGAACTTTTGGGATCAAAGCAACGATATCCCTTGTGTTGGGAAGAGTAGACTAAAAAGACACAAGCAATTGATTTTGGGGATAATTTGTCAGCACGAGTAGACCCAAGAAATGGGAAGCAAGTGCACCCAAATACTCGAAGGTGAGAGAGGGAGGGAGGATTGGAAAAAAGAACCTCATGAGGAGATTTATTAGTGAGAACTTGAGTAGGAAGGAGATTGATCAAATAAGTGTGCAGTGGAAAAAGCTTCAACCCAAAAGGATTTGGGAAGAGAACCATGAAGAAGAAGAGTAAGCCCGATTTCAGTGATATGACGAATTTTTCTTTCAGAAACTCCATTTTGTTGAGGAGTATGGGGACAAGAGATGCGATAAAAAAAACCATGATTACGAAGATAATTAGCAAAAACACCTTTCACAAGTTCGAGAGCACCATCACATTGAAAATATTTGACACTAGTAGAAAATAAATTTTCAGTAAATGACTTAAAATTTTGGAAAGCATGAAAGGCATCAGATTTATTAGTAAGTGGATAAATCCATGTAAAACGACTAAAGTCATCAATAAAAATAATAAAGTACCGGTAACCTGAAAGAGAGAGACAAGGACTTGGACCCTAAATATCACAATAAATTAAATGTAACGGCACTTTAGAAACACGAGAAGATGGAGTAAAAGGAATTCGAGTACTTTTGCATTGCAAATAGGAATTACAAGAATTTATTTTGGAAGATTTAAATGACAAAGATCGAGCTAAAGATGAAAGAGTTGAGTGACACGGATGTCCAAGACGGTGATGCCAAAGATCAGGAGGAACAGCACGAGCAGCCAGAGCTACAGGATTGTGGAATGTCTTAGGAATCTTCATAGGATAGAGGTAATTGTGAATGTTACCCGCGAGAAGCGGAGTCTTGGTGACTAGATCCTTCACAACATAACCAAAAGGAGAAAATTCCATTAAACATGAATTATCAGTGACAAATTTTCCAACAGATAAAAGGTTTGTAGTAAGCTGGGGAACAATGTAAATATTACGTAAGTAAAGAGGTTTTGGGTGTTTGGTGAGTGCAGTGTGACCAATAGAAGTAATAGGAAGAGTAGTACCATTACCAACAACCACTTGCTGATTACCATGATATGGAGTGGTAGAATCCACTAAAAGAGGATCAGGTGCCATATGAGCCTGGGCGCCAGAATCAGGAAGCCATTCAGGGATGTCACTAGATGTAAAGGATGAAAAGTCTTGAGGCTGGGGTTCTTGGACAGTGGAGGTGTGAAAAGCAGTGGGCATGTTTGTGGGAGCAGAAGAACGATGAGTTTGATTATTGCGAGATTCAGCGTAGCGGAAATGACAAACAGCAGCAGAATTATAGAATTTTTTGCAGATTTGGCATTGGGTAGGATTGGGTTGTTAAGTAATGTTGGGGTAAGGGCTAAAGGATGAGGTATAAGGCTTATAGGGAGTAGAAGGATGGGTGGGGAATTGGGCTTGGTTTGGGCGATTTTGGACAGTGTTGAAGGGACGGTGTGGACCGTATGAATTGGGGTTGGGATAAAATGAGTGCGGAGTTGAGTTATTAGGAAAGTAGGGAGAGAGTTGACCACGACTACGACCTGAATTGGATTGTGACTGTTTACCACGAGACCAAGAACTATTGACTGGAAAGTTCACAGTAGTATGGAGTGCAACTTCTGGTGAAGGCAAAAACAATTGCAAACGTTGCTCATGGAGAAGCAGTTTTGCTCGAAGATCTGTGAATGAGGGAGGAGGGTTGAGATTCTCTATAGTGGTGATGAAGGAAGTATATTCAGATGAGAGGCCATTAAGAGCGAGAATAACAAGATCATGATTAGGGGTAGTATCCCCAACAGCAGAAAGCTCTTCTGTCATAGTTGATAATGAAGTGAGAAAATCATTGACTGTGAGAGAACCTTTCTTAAAATTGTGAATTTTTTAGCGTAGTTGCGAACTACGCGCTGTAGATTGTTGAAGAAAATGATGCTCGAGTTTGATCCAAAGGTCACGAGCAGTAAGACATCCCAATACCACCGATGCCATTGAAGAAGACAACGAGGCAGTGAGACAACATTTGACAAGGCGATCAAGTTTTTGCCATTGAATAAATTCTTTTGGAATAGTAGAATTAGGTGAAGAGTCTTTTGGTGGTAAACTTGAACCATCGATATAACCATTAGGATCAGTGGTAATTAAAATTCCTTCAACTTGATCTCTCCAAATTAGATAGTTGGAGTTATCAAGAGATACAGTGATAAAATTTGTGATATTGGAGAGAGGAAATAATTGAGTAGTAGTGAGTGATTGTGAAATAGTCATTTTAAAACAATGGTGATTAAAGTAAAAGAAAAGAAAAGAAAAAGTAAAATAAAATAACGTGTAGTATTATGTGAAATAGTGTGTGCAATAGTGATTTTTGGAGGTAATCAGTGGTGGGATAATGTGAAGAAAAAAAAATTTTAGTGCAGGATCGATTTTGCTCTCGATACCATGATGAGAAATAAATTCATGAAAGAAGATGAAATCATAAATTGTATTGTGTGCAGCAGTACATTACATTGCCTCTATTTATGGGCATACATCAATATTAGTTAAGATCTAAATATTATAAAATCTGAAATAAAATCTAAACAAATAGAATCTAAATAATCCTAACTAATGAGATCTTTGAATAATCTTATCATAATTAATTGATACCTTAATCACATATATTCACATCCATGATGCCTTCATGCATTTCATCAATTTCGGGGGCAACACCCAATCCTCTCCTTCTCAAGCATCCAAAACATGTTTCTTTGGCTCAAACAGTACAATGCAGCCGATATGGATTCAATCGCCATTGGCAGAAGAATTTAATTTCTCATGATCATTGGGAATTCTCCTCTAGAAGGGTATCGGTCAAAGCGATTTTGGGAACTAAAGGGATCGATAAAGTGGAGATCGTAAAGGGTCGAACAGAATTATTGCGACCGGAGCTTGTGCCTAAACACGTAGCCGTGATCATGGATGGCAACCGGAGATGGGCCGTTGAGAAAGGTTTACCGATTCAGGACGGTCACCGTGCCGGTGGAAAAGCATTTACAGAAACTGTCCGCGTTCTTCATGGCATGGGAGTACAAGTCATTTCAGTTTTCGCTTTTTCAACCGAAAATTGGTCTCGTCCCAAAGTAAGTACTCCCACCATTCTAAAATATATAATTTATAGAATCAAGACAATTTTTATCTTATTTTTTTTTTAAAAAAAGTACTCTTATATTAGAAATAAAATTATATTACGTACAACAGTACATTGTCACAACTGTATATTATGGCAAAAAATCATGATAAATAGACACTTGGATTAACTACCTACATATAGTAGCATCGTGAATTTAATCTACAAGACTGCTCTATGATTTTTCCTCCCTTCTGTTGCAGGAAGAGGTTGGCTTCTTGATGAGTTTGTTTGAAGAGTACGTAGACATGGGATTTGAAATAGTTGCTACGTACGTACCTATATTTTACGTGAGATTCCTTTATTTTATTTTATTTTATTGCATGCTAATAATGAAGAACTCTTTCAATTCCAACTAGAATCATGTTTGAGGGGGATCGTCACATTTTGGATGAAATAATTTTTTTTTTTTTTTTTTTTTGCGATCATAGATACAACGCACGTATATCCATAATTGGCGACACTTCAAGACTTCCAAAATCCCTGGTTGATCGTATAACAATGTTAGAGGAATTCACAAATGACAACAAAGGAGCACAGGTGCTAATAGCCTTGAACTATGGCGGGAGGCAAGATGTTGTAGAAGCGACAAAACAAATTGCTACCAAAATTAAGAAGGGTGAATTAAAGGTTGAAGAAATCGATGAGAAATCGTATGAGGGAGAGAGCTGCAAACTAAATGCGCAAAGTTGCCTTGCCCAGACTTACTCATAAGAACCAGTGGGGAGAAAAGAATAAGCAACTCATGCTTTGGCAATTGGCTTATTCTGAGTTTCACTTTGTGGATAAATATTTCCCCGATTTGGACGAGCAAGATCTTATGGCCGCCGTGGTTTCATTTCAGCAGAGACAAAAAAGGAACGGGTCGAGGTCCACAAATGCTAACTAATTCTTCAGAGTCAACACTATCACTATAAACACAAGTTTTAGCTGGTATATAATACTATATGGCGCCTTAATATATAGTATTGTCATTCTTAATTAAACGCTAAAATCTCCAGGTTTTATTTGTTATCGTAGAGTACTCCACGTTGTACTCCAATTGATTTGCAATGATTTAGGCCAGTATCAACATCTTCTTTTTTTTTTTTTTGAATATCATTTGTTTTATAATTAGGAGTTGTTGGAAATTTAGTCTTATATTTATTTGAAAATTACTCCCTCCGATACTTATTATAAGGTATTTTGATTGTTCTAAATTTCATTTAGTATGTTCTCTCAATTAAAAATAAAATCTTAAAAATATTTTATAATAATTAGAACAACACAATAAATGTGAAAATTATATTTTTAATATTTTATTTTCAATACAAATAACACACTAGGTGAGATTTAAACCAAATCAAAAATCTTAATAAAGATCGGAGGGAGTATTTACTTCGGTTTTATACCGCAATCTTGACGTCATCCTCACCTTTCTCCGGCTTATTATTGGTCTGTTCACAGTTCCATTATATACAATTATGCATATATTTTTTGGGTGAAGAATTTTTTTTTAAGAGAAAAATGGTGAATTCATAATAGTTTTATTACATGTTACGCACTGCAGTTCTTAGTTTTTATTTTTCTATAAGAAAAAAAATTCCTTTACTAGGTTTACTTTCATACAACTAGAATTCATACTTCACATGAATTTAGGTAGGTTTTAAAATATTATTGATACATCATCATTAATTACTACTACCTCCATTCCTATTTATATAAGAGGTTTTTGACATATTTTCTTCATTCATTTTTATAAGAAGTTTTACATTTCCAAAAAAATATTTAATGATTTTTTCCCTTTCTATACCCTCACAATTAACCAATTCAAATACTAGTTCAACTACTTTATTAATGTTATCAAGGACAATTTAGAAAATTTACAACAATTTTGAGACAAAAAACTAAATTTTCTTAGTTTTATTGGTTTGTGTAAAGTTAGTTAATTCTATCTTATAAATAGGAATGGAGGTAGTAAGTATATTATCTTGGTCTTTAATTACTACTCCCTCCATTTAAAATGTATGTTACTTTAGACTTTGCAAGTATACTAAGGAGACAATCATCCAATAATTAATTTATGTGTTAAATATCTGTTTTATCCCTCATTAATTAATTAAAATTATAAACGAGACTAAATGAAATATATTGGCATCATTTATTGAGGATAAAGTTGGAAAAATAGTCATTAATTGTCTAGAATTTGTAAAACGACTTATATTTTAAAAAATATCTCCAAACTTAAAACGATTTATATTTTGAAATAGAGGGAGTAACTAAACATTTAGTTACAATCATTTCATTCATCATTAAATAATTATTTAATTGCTACAATATTGTACTACTAGCATATTTTTAAGAAAAGTATTTTTTTTTTTTTAATTTACTAGTACTACTACTTCCTGAATCAGATGGACCGGCGATCAGACATCCCCGTTGTCCGAGCACCGAAGTTTACGATGCTGACATGGCATGTCATTGGTCAGAAACGCGCTGACTAAATCAATCAGACACAACATTGAACATTCCCACGGTTCATCCAAAGCCCTCCCAGGGCCCACTTCAATCTGTATATAAAATTCAAATTCTTCCCCATTTTCTTCACAAAAATCAAAAGCCCCTCTGTAAGTCTGTTCTTCTCTTCCGATCCCTAATTCCTGATTCGCACATAAAAACCCTACGCCACAATCACAGGATATTCCCAAATTCGGTTGTTGTTATTTTTGGGATTGAGGAGATGGACGAAATGAAGGATAAAATGAAGGGTTTTATGAAGAAAGTCAATAATCCGTTTACATCTTCTTCATCATCATCTGGTGGATTTAAAGGGCAAGGCAGAGTTTTGGGCTCAGCTTCTAATTCAAATTCAGTGCCCACTAATCCTCCTATTCTCTCAAGGCCCTCTCCGCTTGTTGATTCTAAGCCGAATCCGAAACCATCCGTTTCAAGTCAGAGGCTAAGTAGTGATTTGCCTGATAAGAAAGTGGAGAGCAAGGCTGTAATAAATGGAAATTCAAATGAGATTAGGAAACCAAAAAATGGTTTTGATCCGTTTGATTCGCTGATCACTTCCGGAAAGCGAAACGTAAATGGCTATGATTTGAAAGTGGTTGAGTGCCCTGTTTGTGGTAGAGGGTTTGGGTCTGAAGATGAGGTGTCTGGCCACATTGAGGATTGTTTAAGTGTTTCTGGGTTAAGCATTGAGGAAGTGGAGAAGAAATTTCAGGGTGACGGCGATGATGATGGTAGAAAGGTGGCAAAAAGTGAAGTGGAGGTTTCTGTAGGTGCTTACATTTCTGGGAAACCATCAGAGGTGTCGAAGGAGGTGCTTCTTAAACTTTTGAAGAATGTTGTTAGAGAGCCGGACAATGTCAAGTTTAGAAAGATTAGGTTGGGGAATCCAAAGATAAAGGAAGCAATTAGTGATGTTGCAGGAGCTGTGGAGTTGTTGGAAAGCGTAGGGTTTCAGTTGAATGAGGATGGGGGCGAAATGTGGGCTGTGATGGACGATGCCTCCGAAAAACAACTTGGATTGATAAAGGACGCAATTTCATTGTTGGAACCAAAGAAAGTTGTTGAATTGCCCTCTGTGGCGCCATCTATGGCAGATGAGCAGCCGCTTCCTCTCAAGGAGATTGACAGACAGGTATCCCTTCTTAGCTTTTAAACAATACTTATAGATACTATGTTATTTTTCCTCTTGCCATTAGTTCTAGATTATCATGCATAGTTTTAGGGAAGTTTGGACTTGTACCTTTGCATGTTGTACATGGACTGATTTTGACACTCATGATTGTATTGATGTTAAATCCAGTGGGACTGTGATCAAGTAAGGTTACACAGGGTGATTGTTATTCTGTGCCCTTTTTTTCCATTTCTTTTAATTAAGTTAATGGACATATTTTTTCGATTAAATTTAGAAAATATCCTTTGTTTTTCAATATCTAAATCAGAAGCTAGTGGAAGTGTGAAATAAAGAGAAATAAATGCTTTTCCTGATTTGAACGTGTATCCTTGATCTCCCACTTTCGCTGCAAAATTTATCCGCATCTAGTTTTATGTTTGTCATCAAAGCAATGTCTTAATCCCTTTGTTTTTCCAACGTAACTGTTTTAAAGATAGGATGAAAATGTGGATATTGGTTAATATAGAGAACCTTGTCGCATAGTTAATAAAGCTATTTTAGCATTGCAACCAAATTACCTTTACTGATTTCCTTTGGAGGGAAACTTTTTAGTGGTGAAATTTATCATGTTGACAGTCTAGTATGGCTGTAACCATTACCAGGTGTTTCTTCTTGAAGTACCTCTGTGATGTTGTTGCTTGAAAATTATTCTACATGGAAACTTACTAGGTATTTAGAAAGAACTTTGGCTCCTTAACAATGAAGCTGTTTAGTCTCACCTTTTGCAAAATGGAGAAAGATAGTTTCTTGGACCCCTGATTGACAAAGGATGACTCTCCATGTCAATGTTGTTTTCCTTCGGCCTTATTCCTGTACCACTCAGTACATAGTACTAAGCACCAGATGGACTTGCTTGGCTTCTGGGACATAAGAATGTGCAATAGTCTTGCTATTTTCTCCGTGACCATAAAATTTTACCCTGCACTTAGACATTAACAGTGAGTTGTAAGTTTTTGTTCGTGCACTTTGTATGGCATTTTTGTGCAGGGAGCATCTCTCGCCTTTTCAGAACCTTCTGCAGCAGGGTTATATTTATGCCCTGTTAGAGCTCTACTATTGTTGTCTTCTTTCTTTCTGCTTTAGAGAGTTGCCGGTCTTGGTTTACCATTGCGTTTTATGGCAAATTAAGTCCTTCAAAAGATAATTGTCTAGTGTTTGTTGGCGTTTTCTTATAGAAATGGTGTGACTGTTACTTGCAGATCAGGGTATTCTTTTCTGTTTCAGAGACCGTAGCAGCTAGGATCGAAGTGCCTGATAGTTTTTATAATCTATCGAGTGAAGAATTGAGAAGAGAGGCACAAATGAGAAGAAAGCAGATTGAAGACTCCCAGCTACTGATTCCTAGATCCTTGAAGGAAAAACAGGCAAAAGCTGCCCGGAAAAGGTACAAAAAAGCTCTTATCAGAGTACAGTTTCCTGATGGAGTGGTGCTCCAGGGAGTATTCTTACCTTCAGAGTCTACTGCTGCTCTCTATGATGTAAGTAGTTCTATCCTTACCCTATGAATTTGTTTGCATGGTTTGGAATCAGATGTCCTGTAAAAATACATTTTTATACTTTCATTTGTTTTATCCTTACTGTATTATTTTGTTTGCATGGCCTTGTAATTTCCCCATCTTTTTGGGTATGTTAAGCAACTGAAATTTATTTTAAATATTACCGCCAACTTTTTGGGTATGCATTTGTTGCTGTTGTTTGCATTCCGCAATTGGGCTTGATAAACTAAAAAGTCTGAAATTTGATGGCAGAAACTTTTTTGTCCCATTAAGATTGAAGAGTAACTGACATGGTCCAGTGCAGCATCATTTCCACATTTGGCATCGTAGATTGTCATGGTTGATTACTTCTGGAATTGTACAAATAAGACTCTTCTTGATTGTCAGGGAATACTGAGATTAGTAGAGATTTTTTGCAAAATAATCAAACACCAAAAAAGGAAAAGAATAAACATGCTATTAAGACTGATTAATCTCATCTGTGATTTGACAAAAAGGAAAAGTTGGCCTTTCCAATATAGCTGTTAGAAATCTGTCTAGGATAAAGATTATCTTGATCTCAGCAGTTGGTTTTCCTGCTGCTTTAGCTAAGCTTCTTTTCTGACACGTTCTACTGCTTCTCGATGTACTTACTGCCATTGCCAAGTCTCCCACTTCAGCTTGATTCTTATTTATTTTAGATTTTCATTGAATCTTCATGTGGATTGTTCCTTCTAGTTGGCATTTGGTTAACTCTGTTGGTTCATGCACCTATGCACTCTTCCACTTTTCCTGGTTGGTTTGATGTTATTTGACTTCTCCTTATGCTGGAACCCCATCATCATGCTAGCTCATGAATCTCAAAGCAGAAATGACTTTGCCATCAGAGTTTATGAATGACAGAAACTAACGCTTCAAAACCTTTTGTTAGAACTGAGTTGTTTAATGTGCAAATTTCTTCTCCTGCAAAGGATTGTGTTTATATTAGAGACTGGCAGTGTGAAATTAAAATTGTTTTACCTTGTAGTGTTGAAGGGAAAAAAAGTAGGAGATGAGAGTCCCTTGGAGGATGCAATTGGGCTTTTGAATCCGATATAGTTGTGAGCCTGCAGCCTAGCTTGTTGTCCTTTTATGGACAGTTGGGTCTTCTGGCTTACGCATATATAAGAAAGAGGAGGTGAAACTGAACTTGTATTATGGAAGAATAGTGCTCACACACCTCGGTGAACAGGTTGCTTCGTGAGTTGTTTTGTTTTGGTGAGGGAGGATGAAGCCTTTTATGCCACTTCTTATTACGAAAGTTTGGCGTCGTATGTATAGAAGGAGTATCAGAAAATTATCATCTATTCTCTTAGTAGATATATTTATGTGGTGCTACGTCAGGCTACAATTCATCTGCAGCCATTGTGTATGTGATGCTTGTTTATTCACTCAGTGACACACTAATTCTTCTCTGTTGTTTTATCATCAGTTTGTCTCCTCAGCACTGAAGGAACCGAGCTTAGAGTTCGATCTACGGCATCCAGTTCTCATAAAACGGCGGGTGATACCACGCTTTCCGGAGGCAGGGAAAAAAGTGCCAACACTAGAGGAGGAGGATCTGGTGCCTGCAGCTTTAATCAAATTCAGACCTATTGAAACAGATTCGGTGGTGTTCACTGGTCTCCGTAGCGAGCTCTTGGAAACATGTGAACCTCTTGTTCCTGATTCAGCAGCGCATCGCTGATTGCTCTTCATTACACCCTCTTCTTGATACACATTTATCCATTGTTGTAGAAGAATGTAGATTCAGTGCCTATACTTTTCAGCACACATTTGCAAACAACATAGACACGGTGAATCATTAGCCATACAAAAACAGTGTTATGTAAAATGTGAACTGGTTGATGATGAAAGCCATTTTTGTCACCTTTTGCTTATTCTTTGAGCGTACGGCAGTATAGAATTTGTGTTTCTGTGTATTTCTTACTAGGTATAAGGCATTTTGATTTTGTCTTATGATTTACCTAGGATGTCTTGTTAATTAGAAAAAAAAATCTTAAAAATATATTTTTATTTCTTTTATATTTTCTTAATTATTAAAAAATATTTTTAAGATTTTCATTTCAATTAAACACACATCTGAGGTGAAACTTAGAACACGTCAAAATACCTGTTAAAAGGACCGGAGGGAATATCTTAAATGCGTGTGAAAATTGCAAAGTGAGTTTTATAATAAGATTATTAAAGAGTGAATGCTTTGGTTTCAAACGGCACTTTGTACTTTTCATTTGGATTGTGGTTTAATAGCGATATCTCTGGTTCGTTATTTTCATGTGTGATAAAATTGGTATATCTAACCTGTTATCATTTGAGATATCCTGTATGTGCCTTTTTGTTTCCCTTCGAAAAAATTGCATTCTTACAAGTAAAAATTTCGTATTTTATGTTGTCAACAAAAAAAATTTAAAAGTAACAGTAACAATTACTTAGATATGATATGAGTACTAAAATTCAAGATAATTGTGAATGATCTATCAATTTTGTCACATGCAAAATGTGTCAAGGACCAAAGATGTCGCTTTCAAGATGACAAAAGCGACACCGCCCGGCCCAAACCAAAAGATGTAAGGTGCTACCATCAACAAACCCGTGAACGTGATCATCTGGATAACAAATTTTATTAGAACAATTTAACTGTATGACTGTAATTCAAATTCTAACGTACTCACAAAATTATTGTCTAATTTGAGATTCCATTTTTAATACAATTTGAACTAAAAATGAAAATCTAAACTGGACAATAATTTTGAGACGGAGGGAGTAATAAATATATATTTCGTATTAGTGATTAACATACTTGTTGAAAAAATAATTTAACCAAAATATAATTTAAATTAACTAGAACAGTGATTTCCATTCTCGGGTGCATTCTAAAAGGGGAAAAACAGAGGTGCCATGACCTTTTTTTTCACTGTGAGAAACTACTAAAAAGTACAGTATGGGGAAAAGATGAGGAAGGAGACTTTAGTCATTTTGACTTCAGGAAGATACCCACAACTTTTTCCCATGTGGTGGCATTTGCAATTTTTTAATACCAATAAAATACAATTAAAAATAATAAAAAATTATCAGCCTGATTTATTTCTCCCTAATTTAGAAACAGAGGAACAGCCACTTGCCCATCTTTAGAGTGATGTTAAGAGCGCACACACCCACATATTGGAGTTTCTGAATCAAATACTATAAAATTCCTCTGTTCCTTCTCCTGTCTCTTCCCTTCCCCCCATCTTTCTTCTGTGGTTATTGACTCTGTATCAGCACCCTTCCTGTTTAAGGAGTTTAGCTTTTGTTTTCTTGGTTAAGAAGGGTGGGTCTAATTGGCTGAAGTTTGAATTTTGGTGGGTTTTTTTTTTCCTGAAATTCTGAATGGAGAGAGACTTTATGGGTTTGAATTCCAGAAAGGATTCTGCTGTTGTGGTTAAGGAAGAAGCAGTTGAATTCAAGGATTCTGGTGAGTGCTCTCTTCCTGTCTAACATCATGTTGTACTAATTGCCTTGTCTGGAGGCCAAAGTTCAATTTTTTTTGGGCTTCGTGGTTTGGTTTCTGAATTCTGTGAAATGATGTTTTGGTTCGGTTTCTGGTTACCTGTTTATGAGTTTGCTGTGTGACTTTTTCTGAGTGGGATGTATGGAGATCAGTTTCAGGTCAGCCTAATATGATCTTTAGGAACTGGTATCAAGTTTTAGGATTTGCCCGATTCATATTTCAACTAGGGAAAAGGTAGTGCTTTATTCTGTCAAGCTCCATACCACCTGATTATAAGGGGCATTTTTGGGGAGTGGAATAAAAATTCCTTTCTTGAAGTATGAGGCTTTCTTTCATGAGCAGAGAATCAGAAATGATCAGCAGATTTTCCCTTTTGGAATGTAAACAGCAGTAATATGCTTTCTGAATTAGTTGGGCTCAAATTTGACTTGATTCAGGCACTGAAGTTGTAGATGGAATTTGGCCTAGTTTTCCTCTTTCTCTGCTTCTTCTTATTTCTAATTTTGTCTTTAGAGCAAGAAATAGGAACAGTTTCCAGATCTATAATAAAAGTGGAAGGAGTAGATGACTTTCTTTTATGTTTAGTCTTCTGCCTTGTTTGCATATAAGTTAAATAGTCTTGATTGCCTTCTTCTTTGATGGTTTTGCATTTCGAGGATGAGTGAGTTTGAAAGGAAGTTAATTTATGGATGTTTATTGATTCCGGGTTTGTCTAAGTTTCAGGGGCTTCATGGATGATGCCGAATAAGGACTCCACTCTCCCTCCTTTCCAGTCCTTTAAGTCTGTCCACGATGAGAAGATGACAAAAGTTGTGCCTGAGAACCACACCTCTCTTGGTTATATGGCTATGTCTTCGGCTAACGCATTTGACATGAAACGTCTGCCAGGCGAAGTAGGTTTTCATCTATCTTCTCTGCACATAAAATGCTTATTTCATGTGTCAAGAAGTTAGATTTTTCGTTACATTTGTTTGTTATGGATATGGGATTGTAAGGGTTTTTAAAAGAGCAACTCGTGTCGTTTGTTGAATGCGTCATTGAAATAAAATTTAAAATGCAGTAATTTGTGCAAATCTACTATCCAGAGTTGAATATGGCATATGGCTTCAAGGAATGCATAAATGAGGATATTTATTCACCTTCCATATGTAATCCAACAGCGTATTAATTGAATCTGTGTTACAAAAGATGCTGTTATACTTCCAAATTCACTTGGAATTGTATATTAAAGACTCATTTTTCTGATGTTCAATAGAACTGTTTTGGTGGGGCTACTTCAAAGCAAGGATTCGTGAGTGGTGTTCCGGTCGCAGCTCCCTGTTCGATTATTCCTTCTAACGGTTTTATGGCTGGGACAACCGAACCATGGTAGGAATCTTGTTGCTCAGAAGTTACCTTATGCAGTATGATACTAGGTCTTCTGATTGTCATGATTTTCAATTTTTATTTAGAAGTACCTTATGTATTATGATGCTAGGTCTTCTGTTCTACTGTATACGCTCATTGCCCTAATTTTTCAGATTTTTATTTCGAGGGAAAAAGCAAAAGATATAACTTAACTAACAAGCCATAATGGATTTTTCATAATAGGTTTAGTGCTAAGGCTGCTAGTGGTGCTGCTCAGTTAACTATCTTTTATGGTGGTTCGGTGAGCGTGTTTGAGGATATCACTCCGGAGAAGGTACACAGCTCTTGTTTACCCTCGTTTTTGGTTTTGTAGCTCGAGTGTTGTCTATCCTCTACTGACTTGTCAACTTTTATTTGATCTTTTTATGGATGTTTACCTTCTCAGGCTCAAGCCATTATGTTTTTGGCGGGGGGTTGTGTTCCAGCAAACATGGTACAGACAAGACCCCTAATTCAGTCACCTGCCTCTAAATTTGCTGCTGGAGATGCTGGCTTCATGAACCAAAACATGAATGCACAACCTAGCTCTGCGCTTTCGAGCCCTATATCTGTTTCTTCCCATCCTGTTAATCACTCAGGTGCTGTCTCTCCTAACAGCGATGAAGCAAAAGCACCTAAAACATCTGGCATGCTGACAAATATACCAACCAAAGTTGAAGTTCGAATGGCTTCTCTTGGACCTGGGGCTGCTGCTACCATCATACCATCAGGTATATAACATGTCATGAATAATTTTAAATTTTTAGTCGTCTTGGTGGCAATATGGGGTTTTGAAGAAAAAATATTTTGGTCATTAGAATTAATGAAACCAGAATCTTTGAACACTCTTGTGCAGCTTACCTAGTGATATTGCAAAGTTATTTAATTATTTAAAATTGGAAATTTTTTGCAGCTATCCCTCAGGCCCGAAAAGCATCTCTGGCTAGGTTTCTGGAGAAGCGCAAGGAAAGGTAACATATTTTTATTTTTTGCTTACTTGTTCCTTGAGACGGAATCTGGTTTTTAGCTAATCTTAGCAATCATAACTAAGATTACCAGGAGTATTTCATTCTCGCATTAATGTTCTTTTTATTACTTATTTGGGGGATATTTCTAACTCTTACATGTCAGTATAAAATGAAATGTGCTAATAAATGCTGAAGTTCTCTTCTTGGTTTAATTATTGTTGATCTAATTTATGTCTGGTTAAGAAAACCGCAGTTTATTACTTGTCATCGCATAATTATGCAACTGTAACACGCATGAGCATGACCTTCTTAGTTTATTACTTGCTCTAGCTAATGACCTAAGTTTCAGTGATCCAAGGTTCATAACTTGTTCTTGCACTTGTTGGTTTAACCTCTGCTGATGATGTAGCCGAGTTTAGATTTTCTCATTATTGAGGTTCTGCCCTTGGTGGATTGTGGATGTATTTTCTCCTATTTGATTAGTTTCTTAGGTGTTTGCTCTCTACTCCATTTAGAAGGATCAAAACTAGACGTTTTCTTCTATCCTTTGGTTTCTGCATGAAGTTCTCACGCACATTTGTATCCAAAAAGAAAATGTTGTGGTCGACATACTAATCATGTACATGTGCAGGGCAATGAACTCATCTCCGTACAACGTCACCAAAAAGTCTGCTGAATATTCGACTTCAGAAGCCGTTGGTGCGGGTCTCCCTGCAACACCTGCGACCTCCTCCGTGGCAGGCTGTTAACCCTTAGTGAACCATCTGAAGATGGCCTAATGGCTCCAGCCCCTTGAACTGGAAACCTGAGAAGCAAGATATAAAATATGTGTAGCAAATCAAGATGCTAAAGCAATCAAATTTTGCTTTCCTCTTTAGTTTGTTGTATCTGTATCTCCCGAATTTAGTTCACCCTGGAACTGGAAGTGATTTAAAGACCTCAAATCTTTTTTTTTATTTGTATAATAGGTACTTTACTCCTGATATCTCAATTCACCAAGGTTTGTATAGCAATCTACTGTACTCTTTTGGTATTGAGATTCTAATAATGATATTATATAATTTTTTTTTTGGGTGAATGATTCTTATACTAATAATAATAATTGCGCTTGACAATCAAGCATAGCATTTATTTATGAGTAATGCAATTTTTCCATGGTCAACAGTCATTTACTATTTCTCATTACTTTGCAAACCTTATCGAAAGAAGAGTGAACTTCAAAACGAGTCATTCAACTATTAGGTAATTCTAATACAGGTCATTATTCTGTTAATTTTGGTCGCTAAATCGTGAATATCTTGTGCTCTGCATTTCCGTAGTATTAAAAAATAAAAAATCATATTTTGCTTCTTTTTTTTTTTTTCAGTATGAAGTCTTCATTCCATCTACAGTATTTTGGTATAGATTCTCAAAATATAAAAGCAAAAAAAATGTTGGTGCTGACTCATGATGGTATGTATATATGTGTAAAGAAGCCAAAGATTAGGATATTTTTGATGGGAAACTGATGGGATATGTTTATAATGATGAAAAGTTAACACAAAACAGTTTGCCACAATTTTCACGTGCGCTGGAAAACCCAAACTGATTTAAATTTATTCATTTATTTTTATTTATTGTGGTGTTGTGGTTGTGGTGTCCTTAACATCACTTGGGTGGTGGCCTGCTGGTACTGGTAGGAAGCAAGGAGGTACATCTTTGATATTCCCGCTCACCTCATTTGTTTTCCCTTTTTTTTTTATTTGAGTTCTTGGAAAAGGGAAGAAAAAAAAAATAAAAAAGAAAAAAAGAAGAAGATTCTTCTTTAATTTGTTGCGATTACTGCTAATTCAGGATGATGACATTTGTTGTTCTCCTCCTGTCCCATAATTATTGTTCAGTCTGAGTTTTCATTTCTAATTTAAATTGTACTAAAAGTGAAATTTCAAATTAAACAAAAATTTTGAGACAGAAGGAGTACCATGTTTTCGGTTTTGTGGGATATTGAAAACTGTAATTCTAATTCAAATACGTAGATTTCTTCGGAGAAAAAAAAAAAAAAACCTTGTTTGTTCGCCTAAGCATTTGATTGAAGGAGCGGAATTGAAAGGCACACTAATTTTCAATGTCTTCTATTTCCTAATAATAATGAAACATATTCTCAGTAACCTAAGGAGTATGGCGAGTAAATGAAAGTACTAGTAGTACAATTAAGGATATTTATTATGGTAGTAAGTAGTAACTATAGGTGACGCAGAAGAAAGACATTAATCAATTATAAATGGATCACAACCCGGTTGGTGCAAAAGTAAAGTCGAACAATAAAAAAGAGGAGCCCAGGACCCGACCCATTTGGACCACTTCTTCTCTTATTCTATCCGCTGTAGAGATTTTGTATTTGCTGCAACTTGCAAGCTTTGTTGGCTCTTCTTCATCCCTCCACCTCCTTAAGTCCTAGCATAAATGACTCCCACACCCCACAAGTCTATCCTTCTTTTACTTTTTTGAGTTAATGTGAGATTTTTTGGGTGGAGAGTTTTGAGCCCGAAAGAAATTCAACCGGTTTAAATTCACATAGTCGAAGCAATGATTTTAGACACTAAATATATAATTTGCCACAACAATGTGCATGGGATTATAGCCGTCTTCATTTTCATCTCTTATCTCACTCTCTCTTCTTCTTTTCTTTTATTAAAGAAAAGACGACTTTTTGTAAAATGTTGTAAGTGACAGTTCTGAAGTCTGATACTCTTTCTATTTCAAAATATAAGTCTTTTTAGCCTTTACACGTAAATTAAGGAGATAATCATTTAATAAATAATTTGTATTTAAATTTCTATTCTACCCATCATTTTGAAATATTTCTCCAAACTTAAAACAACATACATTTTGAACGAAAGGAGTATTAATTTTGTTTTAAGGGCTGTTCAGATTTAAAAATCAAACTGTTGATCTTTTGATAGAGAAAATCATATATATGGATGTTGCTGCACACAATATCTTCTGGAAGACTGGCATGATGTGTGGACCAAAAATAGTTGCTGTTGAGCCATGTGAATGTTTTCATTTATTTCTTCTTTTTTTTTTTTGTTTGGTTTTGTACCACTTCACAAATCCAAAACAATAATTATTAGGCCAACCAAAATTCAGAGAAAACTCTCGTACCAAAAGAAAAGGTCAGGGGAGCGATTCAGCCACGTTTTTCAATTTTCACGTCTTCAACTTCAATCCAACTTGCTGCGAAGGATCAAAGCGTTACTTCAACGAAGTTGGATCGTAGGGTTTAGTCTTATTTTTCGTGAATGTAATGGAGTGACTGATCTTTTAGCGAAAAAAGGTCTCGGACAAATTTGTGGGTTTCATATTTTGGCACAGCCCACCTACGATTTACCAGGTAACCTTTTGTTAGATAGATCATTAACTCCTAGCCTTAGGAGTAAACGTGCTCAGTCAAGCTTTTTAGCTTCCACATTATGTAAGAAAAAAAAGCTTTGCAGCAACTTGCATCCGTCTTCATCAAACTTTGAGGTTGATGGGATATTATATAATTTCCAAAAAAATTCCCACCAATCAAAAAAAAAAAAAAAAACCTAGTACCATTTCATCGTCAGAGAGTCATCATCATCAGACAGCGTCATTTTCATGTCATTATTCTACGACCCTAATTATGCATATATTTAGTACATTACCTTGTCTCCCTGTCCATCCATGATTGGCTCTCTTCATCGTATACTACTACATGGTAAAGCTGTAACATCGTATCGTAACTGGCTAATACAATACAATGTCACTATCGTATCCTAACAGTAACTCTTTCAAAATAGTCACGGAAATCCATTTAGAGTATGGAAGACAAAAACCAACCAATAAAAGAACATACAAAGACGTTAGGGTAAAAATGTAAAAGCTACTAGCATTTCGCCAAAATCGACAGTCCAACCAACACCCTGGAAGATGGGCAGATGATGGATGTAATTCATACCATTTGCAGGACTTGGATGCTAATATTAAAAGCTACTTTCAAGAAGTCTGTGCAAGCTTTGGGTGAGTTGCTGCATAAATGGAATAATTTACGTCGGTGGTTAGGTGTCGAAGGAGGTGCTGCACATCAGGCCTTAAGTTTTCCACAGCTCTTCCACACAGAGCCAAAATTTCTGGTCTAGCCTTGCTACTGCCTTGAACCGGTCCTCCTTGCCCTTCGTAATGGATTATTTGATGTCTGACAAGAGTTAAAACATTTTGAGACATACAATTGACTGGGTGTAATTTGGAAAGAAACTTGCTCTAATCAACTCTGCTCAAAACAATCATCCAAAGTGAATAACTTAAACAACAACCTATCAGGGTTCAGTTGTCATGGTCAGGAGTTCAGTTTCACAAACCAAACAACCACCCCCCCAAAAAAAAAAAAGAAAAACCTTGTCCAAAGTGAATGACTTAAACAGATAGTATACGGGGCTTACAAGAAGTCGATGATATCCACTATCTCTGATGCCTCAACAGGAGCAGGCGGTTGTGTGTTCTTCCCCAAGACGTCCACCAATACATTCAACAACAGTGAAAAGGTCTATCAACCAAAACGCAAAATGTGAAAAAGGAGGTATCACAAAGAAAGCCTACGTAAATGTAGCAATGTCTGATGAGCTTTTACATACCTTGGCAAAGAGGGTATGGGCATTGGCCAATCTTGGAAGTAATGGGCCCATGATCCGGAACACTATCCTCAAAACAGCTATAGATGTCACAGGTCTGAGATGCTTGATAATTAGGTGAGAGCCTTCAAGCCATTCTTGTGGGAGGTTACAAAAGAACGAATGTAACAATGCCACAACATTACCTAGATGAGTAGAACAGTTAAAGATTAGAAATCGACTTAAAGGAAATCATCAAAGAGAGCACTTTGTGGAATTCGTCATTAGTTTATACTTGGCATACATGATAATATAGATTACATTTTGTTTCATAAATCTATTCCAATTTACGAGATTCACAGTGACAGAGGACAAATCCATGCCATAAAGAAGGCTGAAGTTTTTAAGCTCACTCAATATCCTTATTTGAAAGTCAAAGCTTTTTTGGCAATGCATTGCCACATCCAAAATCCAATCTGCAAATCCAAACTGACTCAACAAATCCACCTGAGAGGCTACATGATTCTCATCAAAATTCAAAATTCACCTGTTCTATGGGCTAAAACACATTGTCCTATAAATTGAGGCATGAAAGGACCCAGTTATCAATCGGAAGAGAGCAGTTAGCTGGATGCTCCTAGTCTTGGCCAGGCCCTAAAGCTGGGGGCTCATGATCTGGATATTGCATACTATCGGCAGCACAAACAATGTTGAATGTCTACAAACTAAACTAGAAAGCAGTAAAATGTAGAATAACTATATTAAAGAAATAACAAAGTTAAGTTCACAAGAAATTACCGATTGCTGTAGAGGTGTTATCCTGTGCAGCCCATGTTGGATCTAATAAAGCATAACTAACAGCAGATTCAAGTTCACATGCAGACCTTTTTCCATCAGTAAGCCACCAACATTCTTTTATGACACGTGCTGCTTCTATATATAATTGTACATGAAATTCTGGAGGAAGTTGAGCCAGCAGAAGACCACAAGCTTGTATCAATAAACAAGACAATTGCTGGCATGTATAACCACTTCGCCAAACAAAATTTGAGGAATTCATTCCAGAGGCCGATGAAGCTGTTCTAGTCGCACCAAATGAGTCTGTACTTCCCCCAGAAGGAGACGTTGGTAGGCCAGAACCTTGGCTGGCACCACTAGGATTACTGGACTGTACAAGCGTTGGCTGTATGTGAACAACCATTTGAACAAGAGATGACACAACCTGAGATGCAGATACAGGAAGAGATAGTATCTCTATCACCGCGGTTTCAAGAATCAGCTGAGTATACGTTCCAGGGTCTTGGATCTGATAAAAAGCCTTCTGGCCGTCAGAAGGATTACTTTGACCAGTTTGGGTTGTTGCTTTGTTATTTAGCCTGGAAGCAGTATTAGCGGCATCTCCAGCTGGTCCAAGCTTTGACGAGCTACTTAGAGGAGGGATGACATTATTTGCCAGACCCAATAACAAAGTAGCGAAATACTCCAGTGGCGGACAAATAGAAGCATTTGCTGAATTAATATGTTGAGGGAAGGATTCGGAAAACGGAATCTGAAAAGCATAACACAAACTTAGACAGAAGCAAAAAAAAAAAAAAGACCAACAGAAAGAAAAGTGATCATTACCTTCTTGACATCTAGTACACTCAATATCCGGAGGATGAGCTTTCCAGGAATATGACCATAAAAATATGAAAGTATGTCTCGTACGAACGTGAAATTCAACGGATAATAGTGCAAGAATTGATTATAAACTTGCAGAACTCTATCAGCTGCATCTATCACGTCATTTTCAATGAGTCTATAAATAATTTGGGGAATTACTGGCAGCAACCGAGCAGCGATATCATCAAAAAATGTTGGATATCTGAAAGAGAACACAGACTCAATGAACCTCACCAACCAATTGAAACAAATTACCATAGTCTGAAGATATGAAGAATTGATAACTGGAAAGTTCATCCATAGAAACAGATCAATTAACTCTGCACAATGAATTTATATAGAAGCTCACCTTTCCTTCCAAGACAGATGATTTCCCAGAGATTTTTGCAATTCAACACGCTTGAAAGTCCCACTGAGAAGCCAATGTTCAGGTTGGCCACGATTTATTATGTACAATTTCACCCTTTGTTGAAGCTCTTTACTGTCCAGCAAGTTAATCTGTTCATAACCACACAAAAGAGACAATACAATGAAAGGGATGTTAAAGGATTTGGTGAATGTTATTCTCTTGAGCATCAAGTGGCATTACAAGCAGAACTGACACAGGATAACGTAATGTTGCTTTGCAGAAGAATCAGATTTGAGAGTTAAAAACTCAAATTGTGAGTGCGGATGGTAGTGATGCAACCAAAGGGTTATATATTTTCATGTACCACATATATCATCAGTTACAACATCACAGTAGATTTATTACGATAGTTGACAAGATGTCGTGCTTCCATAACATCACCAAATGACCTAAGTGGACACTGGGAAAATTGCCAGTGTCCAATACAGTATTACTAAGAGGGAAAGGATCTGGACCATATTCATTTTAATGCAGGACAATGTGAAGCTAAACATAGTATGCAACCCTATGCCCTCTCCCATTATTTTATTTTATCCAGCTTTGTCCATACGGGACAGAAATCTAAAGATTTTCTAGAATCGCCATTAAAGTTTTCTTTACTGCAAAGGCTAAGCGAATAAGTTAAGATCACTAGTAAAATATCCGAATTTGTCGTCACAACAAAAATATTAAGGCTCAATAGCAACATTCACAAAATATAGAACTGCACCAAAGGTGAAGTACCACAGGCACATGTAGTCACATGATCAATCATTTCAAGATCCTACCACACTAACAGTTAAGCTTACCACAATACGCAGAGAATGTGGATCATCATCACGGTCAATGAGCGCCAACAGTACGATGTCCAGAGGTAGTAGCTCATGGGTCCAGATAAAAAAGGAAAGGTTTGAGCAAGCTTTTAGCAAAAGATCCTAAAGGAGAAAAGAAAGAAAATTATATTCTTAACCATTGACTCACAAAAAGACGGAATGAACGTCACTGGAGAAAGACAATGTAAAACAACATTCAAAGGAAAACCTGAGGGGAATGACCACGCTGAAGTTCCAAGTGAATGTGATGCAGGAGGACATCCACCATTGTATAGATATTTGCGGTAACTTCTTCAGGAGAAAATTCTCTTAAGACACGACCCTGGTATGCATTCAATTGATCAGAAAGCGAAATATACATATAACACAATTTAATCTGTAGAGGCATATCCATGTCAACCAGAATAGTAAACATTACAGAATGAGAGTCAATGAGAATTAAGGCTCACAAGATTAGCACTATTCATGCTCTCAGGATGTTGATGCATTAGCACCCAAGCACCGGCACAAAGGTATTGACGGTGTTGAGGAAAGCTACGACTTATGTATGTAATTAAGTATTGAGGATCAACAGATGGAGAAAGTAGCTGAGAACATTGGCTCATCACAGTACTTTCTGCCTGCCAATATAGAAAGAAAAGTTATCAAGTTCAAATTAAAAAAAAAAAAAAAAAACAAAACAAAACAAAACCGCTTGGTCAAACTTGAACGTGCTTTGGTAGTGATTTTCCACACCCAACAATCAGAATCATGATACTCAATCACTAAAAAAACTCGGCATATTTCAGAAAGAATTTGCACAACTCGTTCAGCTTCTTTTGCAGAGGTAATTTCATGAACTTCCAAAACAAGAAGTTTTTTTATTATATTATTAACTTCGGAATATACTGGGTATGTTGTTGTTGTATTATTAACTCCAAAACAGTTTTATCCATAACAAGGAATTCTTGCTCTCTTGTATAATATTCATGAGCAAACATTTGGACTATGCTAGCTCCAAAGCACTAACCCGGGAAGAAAAACAAACCAAAAAATTTATGACAGAAGACAGAGTCGATCACCCAGGGTAAGAGATGGGCAAACATGTATACTTCCTTTAAATAGTCATTTGTTTATTTTGTGCTTTATTTAGTTACTTCTCCTTAATGTCCCTTCGGTTTATTTGAGATAAATTTAATGTTTCCTTTCAAAGCTCCGAACATTAAGAAACATCCCAAGTTCAACCCTCAACAGTCCAGCAAAGTTGACAGCGAGCAAACATAGTTGGTTGATCATTTTACCTTCAATGATGTTCAAAATAAGTTATTCTTTCCCCTTAACTTTATTACAGGTCACCGCAGTCTCCGTTAGAGTTTAGAGGAAACAGTAGGGAAAACAATAGTTTTGTGAAAAATTAGCTTGATTATCCTGGTAGTCTCACCTAATGCTAAATTTATTTCAGAAACTGATATTCTGAATAAAATTTCATTGAATCTTAAAACTAAAAGATGAAAGAAATGAAACAAAAACAGCTCATACCTCAGAGCATTTATGAAACGTGTAAATATTACCTGCTGCCATGCTTGGATTGCCAGGCCTCTTTTATCCATCCTTCCGATCAAGGCATCACGAAGAATGGCAGGAAAATAACGCAAAGTTTTCTCAGACCATGCATGCTGGCTAGTAGCCAATATTTGCTCCAACATACTTGGAAGATAGAGTAAATGCTCAATCTCCGTAATTCCGCGTGTTTTAATAATAATAGCAAGAGAAGTGATTGTCATCCGATTCAAAGTCTCTGTATAGTCAGTTGAACCCTGCATATCCTCCGAACTGTAACATCAACTTTATCCAATAGAACTGAAACTTAAAAGAAACCAAAATCCATATCAAGCCACATTTCTCACCTTTCCTTCCCTCTTCACAAAAAAGATCTCCCTCATTGATGAAAGCAGATTCATGCCCAAATTCTCCACAAGTCTAAAAATGCGATGATCGCCACGTTTCCCTTTTAGTGTAGCAATCATTTTTGTGATGTCATACAGCAAGGTTTTACTTTTCCCATGGTACCTGAAAAGATGGAACAGGGTCCGTTTTTTCTGTTCACAAATAAAATCCAATTGACAAGGAATACTTAACCAAGTTAAAGGTAACTGATCCCAAAGAAACCCAGAGATTGCATAAGAAACATATCACAGAGCTTCAGCTTATTACGTTTCTACACCAAATATGCTCAATAATAGAGCTTTAACCCCTCTTTCATTCCATAAATAGCATTTAGAACAATACCAAGACCTATTTGTGGAAAGGAAAAGACACCCAGCAGACTGCTGAATCACCTGTAAAGAGAAAGCAGGCGGTAGTTCAAAATCTCAAACAACAGAATAGAGGGCCCGGGCTTGGACAAAGTAGATTGATTTCTTTGCGTTAAATGCTGTCCTTGCCACAAAAAGCAAACTTAGTTATGAAAATTAAAGAAACCAACGCATAATGGGAAAAAGAATTCTCGCAAAAAGTATATCACACAACTTTAAGATAATCAAACACACATATCAGCAAGTAAAAAGTAAAAAGTAAATGCAATTACAGGTAAACACCCATAAAATGCAATTACAGCAAACTTAGTTGCAAACATATTTTTCATCAAATTATGTTTGCAACTACAAGTAAAAAGTAAATGCAATTACAGTTAAGTGTGGACGGAACAATGAATGAGGGGCGATGAGCAGCAATCTGCAGTATGTTTCAACCATTGCAATGTTTGGAACAACCTGCATTAAAATGTTAAAGGCATCAAGGTAAATAGATAAATGACTTCGAGATACCTCAAGAAGGAAACAGGTAGCAACCCAACAAACACCTCTAGTTTTAGTGTCCTTCCTATCAGATGAAGTCATAGTTACAAAAGAAGGCCATATAGCTAAATCTATTCAAAAGGAAAGCTATGTCAAACCCGTATTCAACACCCATAATTCAGCAACATTTTCCTCTTGCCCACATCCCCCATTTCTGGTAGCATAAAGTTTTAAAGGTATTACAAGACAATACTTTTGGCATGAATACCAAAAAGAAATCTACCAGAGTAAGCTTCATAGCCAGACAAGAAAAACAGGAACCACACCTGCCCATTAAACATAGATTCTTCCATCTGGAAAGTCAATTTTAAGCAGAGATTTATTGAGAATCCTGATAAAAGTGATATTGGCAAGGGACTGACTTCCCGCATAACCATAAATCTCTCATTTGCTGGTAGATTTGGCCCTGGCAACAACTCTGTAACTCCAGCTGAGGCTAAATAATTCATCACTGACTCACAAGCAGGAAGTGCCATTGTGTAAGAGACAACCCAGAACATACCAATTGACCTCTCATCCATATTCATGTAATCCAATGTTCGGTCACCTGATATTTCAGTACAAAAGAAAATTTCAAATCATAACTTGAACAAAAATAAAATTTGAAACCGTGCTTCAGGGGCAAGAAACAAATATAGGAAGGAAAATTCGCTAACCCTGCCAAGTCCAGATCACATGGATATTTAGACAACGAAGACAATAAAACGAAATGTTGATTCCTATTAAAATTTAGTTCCTTGCATATAGAGTTTGAGAACCAAATGACATGGTTTGAATATCACGTGTAACCATACAAGTTGTTTGGCAATAGAAATCTGACAACATGGGAACATCACTTGGGTGTAAAACAAAGTGGTATAAAGCCAATGGGTAGTACAGCTGTTGTTTTATTGATCTCAATGAAGTAATAGACATTTTTCTTCCTTCAGAATATAGATTAATCATCAATTAGGAAAAAGATTAACTGCTGCAAGAAAGAGTGTTTTATCAATTGCTTTCAGTACCTTTGGCTGTTTGCCTCCACCATTCATCTATTTGCTTTCCCTTCTGAAGCTGCTCATTGTTCAAGTATTCTCTGGTCGACGTATTCAACGACCAAATCCGCAAGTTCTGACAACTACTAATGAAGTCAAGCAGGATGCCCTGAGGACTATTTGGTTCAGAACTTGGGTCTTTATGAAATGAGATAATTTTCCGGGTAATCTCCACCTGCAATTCAAAACAATGCTTTGAGGACAGGTAATAAAACAATCCACTTAAACAGAGGCAATTTTTAAAAACTTTGCTCGACCCTCTCAATCATTCCACTTTGGACAAGTAATAAAATGTTAGCCTAAAGCATTTCACAGACCAATAATAAGGATACACAAGAATATCAAGATAGATTGTCCTATTAAGAAAACAATGTAATCACATACTTGTGACCTGCATGAATGCAGGGGGAAGAATTACATAAAAGAAAGATCAATTGTACACAACCATGGAGAGGAACTGATTAATATTTAACTATTTTTTCGAATTACCTTCCTTGGATCTGTCGTTAAAGCATTCATTACAAGCTCAACCCGAATAATTTGTGCAAGCAACCAGGTGACATGGTTAGTCCTGAGAATATGTTGATCAACTTCCTGAAGACGCCAGACCAACTTGTCCACGAAATCAACAAAATCAATGCATCCATTTTTTATTAGAAAAAAGAATACATCTGAAAAGGTAAGCCATTCTTGCCAGCAATTTGTCTCTGCCAAACAAAGTTAAGAAAACTCAAAATGATGATGGAAAACAACAAAAAAATAAGCTTGTCAAATTGCAGAAAACAATGAGGGTTTCATCATTGTCATTAAGTTGTGAGAAGTTTGACACAAGTTCAATGCTAATCTGGAGCCATTGCCCATTGAGAATGATAATTTGCATATCCACACAGATGACAAGAAATAACAGATTGGCGGAACTCGAGTCTAGTATCATCCCACTTCTTTGAAGTTCCCTTACTCTTTTAAATTGCAGAGTGAAGATCATATTCCACAATAATGTTTCTTTGGTAGAAGGAAAAACAGAAGAAAAGGAAAAACGGAAAAGAGTACCTTGCGTATTCAATTTACTTCTAAGCAATGGATTAATGTAGAGGAGCTAAACTTAGGATGCAGGGACATTTAAGCAATCAGAGATATGTGCTCAATTACATGATATTGTTTTCCATCTGTTATATACTTGACCTATTCCAATCTCCGTTTTCAACCCATTCTTTTCCCGTTGCTTTTTGGGTCTTCCTTCAGGCCTTTTATCTTCCCTTTTGACCATTGCACATATTATCCCTTTAAAAAAATAAATTTATGCTACTAGAAAAATCATGGATTACATATTCCATTCTTTTGCCAGTCTAAAATCTACTGTAAACTTCATTACAGCAAAAGAACCAAGGAATGTAAAAAGAGTTACAACCACTGTACACTCGAGCGGATCACACGTTTTAAATAGACTTGTTACCTCTAAAACACTCCAACACTATACTAGAGAAGATATGGTACATATAGTTTGAGAACATCCACAATCTCAGGAGAAAAGAAGAAAAAGTAAAAGCAAATGTCGAGTAATGTTTATAGCTCAAGTAAAGTCATTTTACGAGCACCATTCGCGATGCGTGTCTGTTCACATTTGATTCTCTTATCACTAGCCACGTCTTAATGCAGTTACAAGATCACACCAGAATTGGGGTTCACTGCCCACAGATTTGATTAGTTCTCACTAAAGCTTAAAGATTTTCAATCAACATTATGGTGATCAGAAAAGTTTTTGACATATTCAAGTAGCAGTTTAGAAGACCACCCATGCGAACCTAACCCAAAATATGGTTTGGTATGATAATCTACCCAATCTATTCCTAGAGATTCATTTGCATGAGTAGCTTATCTCTTTCTATACCAAAACATTAGATTAAGCATAAGAATATCACCTGTAGCTGTTTGTTTCAGCAGTTCCACAATCCTATCAATGGTTGCTTCACTAATCATTTCAGAACTAAGCACAGCACCAGGAGTAGGTGCTTGAGCATGAACCCTGTGACAGGGAGCCAGAATAAGCACACGCTTCCACCAGTCAGGCGATGGTGTATTACGAAGAGCGTGTCTGACGCAACGTAGGGCTCTTTCCCAATCTAAACTTCCCCTCTGAATGGATACTGCAATATCCTACACAACATAAAATCAATAACCAAGAAAATCTTTCAGCACGACAAATAAAGCATGGTGAAAGACCTTAGGAAAAGTCAACCTACAAAGTTACTCTTTTGATTTGCAAAATGCTTCACAATCTAATTATTGAGGAACAATCTGCATCATATTGCTACTAATAAATTATTTGGCAAACATATTTCCAAATAAATGGGAGAGAAATAATGACTTGACTAGATTGGAATAATTGAATATCTTTTAAATAAAATAAAATATCCAACTCCTATTTGATACATACACAGGCAAAAAGAAAACGTTAACAGTTATTCCATTTAGTGCTAGTTTGGTTCTCTGAAATTATCCACACATACGCTGCATTAACATCATTTCCTTTCAATATCATACATATTTGCAAAATTAAAGGCCAACCACACATAAGAAACTAATACGCTTATCACAAATACATCAAATATGTGACGAAACTCAGAACTACGGTGCCCCCCATCCATGTCGCAAGAGAACTTTCTATTATAATAACATAAAAAAAAAAAGCGTTCCCCGCCCCCCTCCGTCTTTCTCCTTGGGTCTTACTTGATTATGAACAAATCTTAACTCAGGGACAGCTATTACAGTTTCAAAGTATAGTAAATAACTTCATAGCCATATATTGGAGACATAGAGATAATTTAGCTTTAACTATCAGATATAGTTCACGAAAATTATAGACTGGTTAAGAAACAAGCCTTGCAGCTAAATCAGATATTCGGTCACACCCAGACAAATCAGGAAATGAACCATCAAAACCTTTTCGTAAGTCCCAATATCAATCAGTCTGGGGTTTTGTGCCCCTAAGTTAAGAAAAGAGCCCAACAATTTGCCATTTTATTTCCAAAAATGTCTTATCTGTTTTACCTCTCCATGCAGCGGTTCCCCAAGTACACTAGGGTATGTGATTGGCGAATATCTCATGTTCGCTGTGGATTCACCTGCCATATTGTTGGTCCCCTGAGGTAAAAGCCGAGCAGTTCCAAACGATGGACAATGTAGATGTTGATCCAACATTTGCATGTGCATGGCCATCATATCTCGCCTTCTGTGGATCTCCAGAATAAGTGTGAATAATGCTTCATCATCAGGACCATTTTCCATGAACTGCAAATTACTTCTGATCAGTTCATAGAAAGGTACATGGCATTTGTCATCCTCAACTAACAACCATATGACATCCAAACAACTGTGAAGCCAATCAATCAGGGCCTTATCAGGATTACAGTATTTGGCACTCTCAAATTCGCTATCACCGTGTTGTTTTTTATCCCAATTAATTAGCCAATTTAACAGATGGCTAAAAACATCGGCGTGGGTTGCTGGTTTTAGGTGGAAATCAAGGGCAATTAAGATTATCTTGCAACACAACTGGCGGAGGCTGCTTATGGCATTGTCCCTGGTATATAAGCTCACTCTTGTAGCTAGATGTTGACCGTTGCCTGCATCAAGTGACTTCATCGGCGATAAAGCAGAGGGATCAGCTGTGGATGGTGCAGGGGATCCAATAGTATGAACAGAAGGAAGAGGTGATGCAGGACTTGATGACTGAAAATTGGGCGAGTTAGGAACAACACTCGAGGATTGCAAAACCCCTGTCTGTGTGGGTGCGTTAGAGGAGACAGTAGCTGCAGGTTGGCTCCCTTGGGCAATGCTAATCTCGGCAGAAGAAACTGAGGATAGAAGTGCAGGTAAAAAAGTATCCCAATTTATAAAACTTATGTCAGACAGACTCCGTAAAGCAAAGAGAAGAAATTCTGCTCTGGGTGCATGACTTCTACACTGAATAACCAAAGATATAAGGATGGATTCTGTCACAGCACGCAGTTGATCCTGGTCCTGAAGGAGAATATTCCATAGAAAACCAAAAAGCTTCTCAAGGACTGATGGAGAAATGCAGCAGAATACAGATTAGCTTCGAAACTTAAACCTTACTTGAAATTGGCTCAGTAGCTGCTCAAAATCTAAGAGAAATTGTTCGTTACGAGGCGGCAAATCTCTATTAAGTGCAGTGACGCGCTTCTGTGTCTTGTTCCTGTTCAACATCCTTGTTACTATCCAAATAAGAATGCATCTAGTTCCACACTTTGGGGGAAATGTCTAGAAAAAGTTTATGACCAAAGGCAAGTTCCAAGATAAATGATCACTACAAATTTTGATCAAGCAAGCTCCAGCGCAGAAAGTGGCAATCCTTTATCATCATAAGAGAAACAATGGAATAGCATTTTCACATCCCATCGCATGAGAAAGAAAGTATAACAAAGTACATGTAAATAAAAACAACTAAAACTTTTACACAATGTGCAGTCCGGTAGTCTTTATCTTATTCTTATACAACTCTTCCCCGGCCATGAGCATTATTTATCAAACCGCATGAATGAGAAAAAGAGGAGTAAAATACAGAACGTAATATGCTCTTTACAACAGAAAGATATCCTGATTTAGCAGCAAGGAGACCAAACCTAAAAGACGCAACATATTCACTTAAAAGAGAAGCTAAATAATCACACTTATGAATCTTAAGAATCCCTAAATCAAACTTATCAAACTTCAAAGTCAAAAATATGGAGAACAAAAAAAATGCATAAAAGTTACATACGGTGGTTCCCGGGCTGCATCATCTGATTTTTGCCGCGCATTTTTCTGTCCAAACAGCAAAAACGAAACTAAACTCAAAACCCACCTAAAAAATCAAAGTATGATGAAACAGAAAGGGAAGCAAAAAATACAAACGTTATAGAATACTCAACAATTAAGTGATTTCCTACCCCTAAATAAAGATTAAAAATATCGATGATGGCTGGTCTAGCTGGGTGAAACTGAAGGGCCCTCGAAGAGGATGAAGAAGTAGAGGAAGAAGGATTACTTCTTCCATTGTTCTGGAGCTGCTGTTGCTGATGCATAACTGAGTTTTGGTCGATCATATTACTGTCGGAGGTGGTCGGGGTTTGATTGGACACAATCCCGCCACCACCACCTAAAGGTGGTCTAAACATGGTGAATAATTACTGTTAGTGAATCTCCTAGGTTTGATTAAGGTTAACTGCAATGGGTTTCATCAGGGTTTAACTGAAAAAGATCGTTGCTTTGCTAATGAGATTCTTCTGCCCAACTACTGAATTTTGGGGCAAACTAGACCTCCCCTTTCCTATTTGGAACGAGTATTTTACTTGAGGAAATTATTTACAAGGTCTTATTCAGTATCAAAATTACCATACAGGTCCATAAATTTTTGCAGTTTTTACAGGATATGCCCCTATTAATAACCTAACAAGAATTTTCCCTCTAAAGGTTTTTTTTTTTTTCTTTTCTTTCTTTTTTGGGGTAAGAAAGGAGGCAAAATCAAAACCATTTGACTTCTTGAATATACCCTCAAAGCATATGAAAGGCCTAATAATTTGTTATGGATAATGATTTATGCAAAAAAATTTGACAAATCATGAATCATATTGTTCATATTTAATAGTTTTCTTTTCGAGTTTTATCTATTTAAAGATTAGAGGATAATTAAAATTCAGTACATCATTCCATATTAAAATTTCTTGTTGCAACTAGAAAGGTGAGTTCACAATGAATAACTTTTGCTCAATCACCAAAGCGGAATTATGAACTTTGATTTTTGGACTATATCTATGTTGGAGACGGGAATTGAGAAAGATCGTGGCAGAGGTCAAGCTTGAGAGTGGCGTACATAATAAATGGGAATGAGGAGGTGCTTAGTATACCCCATGCCTTGGTGTTTACATAACTTGCTGAAGAGGGAATGGACTCTCCAAATTAAACATATTTTTAAAGAGTCGAATTTCGCAGATGATTCACTTACAAGTACTAGTCCGGGAGGTCTTTGGCTTGACGAACCGTCTACGGGGTTAAAACTTGAGTTTGATCATGATATTATTGATATTTCATACCAACGAAGTGTAATCATCTAGATGGCATTTGCCTCATTTATTGTGCTAAAAAAAATTCTTTGTAAATTTCCCCACATATTTACTCTTAAAAAAAAACAACCCCCTTATTGTTTTCAAAAAAATTCACTCTGAATTTTAAAAATATACTACAAAATAATAATACAAATATAAAACTCAATGTAGACCATTTTATTACGACAGAGGGAATATACATCTCCTCAACAGCCATGCCAAATAATCATATGTAAAATTAACTTGTTGACGCATCATTCTGATTTTTTTTAGTATTACTATTAGTTTTGGATTGTGTCACATATACAAAACTTAGCTAAAGTGAATCCGTCAAAGGCAAAATCCAAAGGTACTTTTTCTCTTTTGGTCCAAATATGAAACAGGGTTCAGATTTCAGCAATCTGCTATGCTAAATCGTGAAAGAAACCACTCCCTCATAGTCATATATGAATATTCAATTTCAGCCGTCGGATTCCCTGACAAATAATCCTGATCGGTTCCAGAAGACACTACCAAAATACATAAAAATAATATGTAAACAAAAAAACTTCCCCCTTCTCAGTCACTACTCCATTTTCCACTGCTTCACTCCATATTCTTCACACACAGTGCCACCGAAAAGGCAAAAACCTCCACCTTTTTCCATCAGTTCTATGCTTAAGGTGTTCTGAGTTCTGACTTCATCCCAAGTTTGAATTTTTGGAGGTGAAAAGAATAATGGAAGTTACAAAGGGCTCTTTTTTCTACCTTCTCCTCTTACTACTTTCAGCTCTGTCCGCTGCTTTTGCTGAAGGTTAGTGTTTTTTTTTTATCTTCCTCCCTTGATGTTTCTGAGTTGGATTCTACTTTTTTGATGTTTATTCAGCTGGGCTATTAGTTTTCCTTCTCATTGTAGAAAAAGCTGTAACATTATATAAAAAGTTGCTCTCAGCTGGCTAATCTTATTGAACACTAGGATTGTTCGTTTTTTGCTTGTTCTCTGCATTTTGATTTGCGACCTAGTTTTGTGGAATGTGCTACCTTTCAAGGCTTTCCTTTTCCTTTCTGTTTTCTGCAACATTTTGTGTGTCTGTTTTCTGAACCTTTGCTCGATGGGTTGTGTAAACTTCTAAAGAAAGATACTTTCTTTGATTAATAAAGTGCGAAGTTGATAAATTTAAGCTCCGGGCTGTTCTATTTGTATAAAGTTGCTGTTTTCAGATTGCAAAATTGGGTCTTTTGGCATTGGAACGAGGAATCCTTTTTTTTTTTTTTTTTTGTCAAACTTGGTCGTTTTGCATGTGAAGTCTCCCTTTTTCAGTTTTTTTTTTGGCTCAATCTCTAAATCTGACCTAAGGGCTTTAGTTGCGGACCAGCTCAAAAGAACAATTCGATAGGCTCTCGCAGAAAACATTATTGGACGACCACTTCATCTATTTGGGTCCAAAATAATAGTAGTATTCTTAAGGGTTGCCCTTGTCTTTTTCGTGTATGAGGTCTAACATGTCAGCATGTGACAATGTTGCTTCTGTGTTTTAAGTTTGAACCTGCCTTTGATTTCTGACATCCTTTTTTCTCCACCCTGAGTGGTTACCACCTTCTCCATCTCATCATATCTCAATGCTGTTGCCTGAAATATGAATTAATCTCTGTTCTTTAACCTTGGTCTCAGTAAGAATCTTCTTTCCATCAATGTGGAAAGTCACTTAATTTTTGTTAACGTTGTAAAAATGTGGCAGCTGTGGTATCGGGAATCAGGACTAATATAGGTTAATGCTTTGATTAAGATTTGCTCCTATCTTCCTCTGATTCAATGGCTTTTTAAGCAGTGGAAGGTCGCTCTGGCCTAATATTAGATGAAGTTACATGATGGTGTGTAATTTTAGCTTTGTGTTACATGTCACATATGCTTGTGAAGGAACTAAGAGGTTAATGCTAATGCCATGTATAGCTTGCACATTGTGGAGCTCAGTGATAAAATATCGTTTGAAGAATGAAAAGCAGATACCTCTCGTACATTATTGGCTGGATGATAATCAACGCATGATGTCTTGTAAATATCAGTCTAACATGCAGTATTATCCCATCATTTCATGAATACATTAGAAGAAAACTGATATCCCTTATTTTGTTGATTATTACATTTGGTAATTGAGAACTAGGAGATTATGTAAATCATGGGAACAATCTTATTTAGGTGTCTGGTTGACCTAATTTTTGTGTCATTACTGGCAACTGAGGTGATAAAGGCTTAGTTTTTATGGATTTCTCAATGTTGTCATCTTCTGCACTTGATCATCTAGCTAAGCTGCCTCAGTTGGGAGTTAGTCACTTCCAAATTTCAGATATCTCCTTGTTTAATACATCACGGAGCCAACAACTCATGCAATGCTGATAGTTTTTTACCCTCCTGAATTTCTTTCAATTCATGGCTGTTTTAGCCTTAAAATCCTTTAAAAGCATCAGAGGATAAATTGAGGCATACAAGAAAACCCTTGAATGATTTAGCTCACTGAGGGGTTTGTCTTTCCATTTGTACATTTACTCACATGCTATTGCAACAATGATGTATTAATCTGCTGGAAGGCATAGCACTCCACAAGCTAGAGAGGGTTTTCTACGAACGTTTATGTGTAGTACGCCCATTATTGAAACATTAAATTTTTGGCATTAAATTAACCATTAACATCTGGCTTAAAGGTTTCTCAGTTTCTCATAAGGACACTTTTTCAGAATATGCATGGAAATTTTGATGTTACTCTTTGGTCAATTTCTAAATTCTCCATTCTTTTGGTTGTTGTGCGCCAGATGCTTTCATTGGTGTAAATATCGGTACAGAACTGTCCGACATGCCCAACCCGACTCAGGTTGTAGCACTTCTCAAAGCCCAGCAGATTCGACATGTCAGATTATTTGATGCTGACCGGGCTATGTTACTAGCACTTGCCAATACTGGTATTCGTGTTACTGTATCTGTTCCAAATGATCAGCTATTGGGCATTGGACAGTCCAATGCCTCTGCAGCCAACTGGGTATCTCGAAACATTATTGCTCATGTCCCTGCGACCAACATCACTGCTATAGCTGTAGGATCCGAAGTTCTTACCACACTTCCTAATGCTGCCCCTATCCTGGTCTCAGCCATGCAATTTATCCACTCTGCCTTAGTTGCATCTAATCTTGATAGACAAATCAAAGTATCCACCCCACACTCTTCTTCTATAATCCTGGATTCTTTCCCACCTTCTCAAGCCTTTTTTAATAAGTCCCTGGATCCGGTCATGGTTCCCTTACTCAAGTTTTTACAGTCGACAGGCTCCCATCTTATGTTGAATGTGTATCCCTACTATGATTATATGCAGTCCAACGGTGTAATTGCATTGGACTATGCTTTATTTCGCCCTTTACCCCCTAACAAGGAGGCTGTTGATCGGAATACGCTCCTTCACTACACTAATGTTTTTGATGCAGTTGTTGATGCGGCATACTTCTCCATGTCCTATCTGAATTTCACAAACATTCCCATAGTAGTTACTGAATCTGGCTGGCCTTCGAAGGGTGACTCTTCTGAGCCTGATGCCACTCTAGATAATGCTAACACTTACAACAGTAACCTTATTAAGCATATCCTTAACAACACCGGAACTCCCAAACACCCTGGGGTTCCCATTAGCACCTACATATATGAGCTGTACAATGAAGATCTGAGACCTGGAACAGTGTCAGAGAAGAATTGGGGGCTTTTTAATGCAAATGGTGTCCCAGTTTATATCCTTCATCTGACGGATTCTGGGACTGTCCTAGCAAATGACACCACAAACCAGACTTACTGTGTTGCAAAGCAAGGAGCAGACAAGAAGTTGTTACAAGCAGCCCTCGACTGGGCTTGTGGCCCTGGGAAGGTGGATTGTAATCCATTAATGCAAGACAGTCCATGTTATTCCCCAGATACGGTGGCTGCACACGCCTCATATGCTTTTGATGCCTATTATCACAAAATGTCTATGGTAGATGGATCCTGTGACTTCAATGGTGTTGCCACCATCACAACCTTGGATCCTAGTAAGTAATCAAATATTCCTAGTGTCTTTTCTTGATTGACAAAATGACTTTCACGTTTTCATATCTTGTCACCAGACCGTGGACAAAATGTATGATAGCTTTCATTAGTACACCAATGAAAGAAATTGCATGTGTACTGAAAAGGATTTAACATGCTGTCAAACAGAAGAAATCTCAACGTAATTTGGAGTTCAGAATCAAGAACTTTATATCAAACCTAATTTCTTAAACTCTGCATGAAGAACATCTGATTGTTATCTTGATGACGCTTTAGATTCTTTATAGTTCTCATCCAGTTCTTTGTTTGCCTACAGGTCATGGTTCGTGCGTATTTCCAGGAAGGTATGCACATTAAAATTTTGAATTTTCCTGTGTCTTTTTGGTTTTGTTTTGTTGACCTATTGTAGATATTGTCAGTAGGTTTATTCTGATTGCATGTTTCCTTTTTCTTTCCTTGAAGTGGTGGGAGGAATAGCAGCTTGGTAAATGGCACCTCCCTTGCTCCATCAACTAATTCTACTGTATCGGGCTGCCATTCACAACATTTCCAGAGTTCTGTGGCCTATATTAGCTCCATTGTAGCTTCTGTTATAATCTGTGGGGCAGTTCTCTTGTAAAACATGAATCTACTTACTCTTTACTGATTTTGAACTGCATTGAGACTTCAAAACATTGGGTTGAAATATGGTTGAGAATTTGCCACACCCAATTTTGGTCCTCTTGAGAGATGTATGGGTTTGGCAATCTACCTGAAATGTGAATTATGGCCATATTCCCTTTAGTGCTCCATCGATTTGTACAAACTAGGTGTTAAGAAATCTTGACACTGTTGATGTAATTATGTTAGTTTAGACTGGTTATATTTTTTATGGTTTTATTCAACCTGGAATTTGTGATGGATTTTAGCAAGAACTGGCTTGAAAAATCGGCTGAAGTTCTGTTTCAGCTGTGAGTGCGAGTTTCTGATTTGTTGCCGGCTTTTCTTTTTTCTTGCGCTTTATTTTCTGAGCCTTGTTGATGGATATGATGTTGGTCATCATGATGATTATAAAACACAATTCAACCGATGATTTTTGTTGAAAAACTTTGTGCATTTGTATTACATGGAAGGCAGGATATTACAGACTCATCTCAGTTCCGAATGAGGTTAAAACTCAAGAACTGTGGAGTCTCAAATTCATGCATAAACTGCAGCATTTGAAACCTCTGCTAGTCAGGATGTTGCTTTTTGGCCAGAAATAGTTGTAAGCTTATGCACTTTGTAGAAATTTTGCATGGCACTTCGTACATACAAACCCTGAAGAGCCAGAGAGTCTGCATTGCTGATCAGCATGCTGAGTGCAATATGGCTTGTTGCAGAAAATACACTTGGGTAGCTGAAGCCAACAATCTAAGCAGAGCACATCGGCGCAAGCCACTTCAACCAGATCATCTTCTTTGATACAAATGCCACATTCTTCACACCTCAGAATGCAGAGCTTGCACCCCCTGCATTCCATCACCTTCTGATGCTGCTTCATTGTTCTGCACGAATCTCTCGGGCAATCAAAAACCCCTCGCACTTCATCACACCTCGGGCATACATCCACATCAATGGCAGGGCCAGATTGCTGAAATGGGGATAAATCATTGTAGTTATGATACAAGTTCATTTCCTCCTTCTGCATTGGCAGGTTTTCATCATCGATTAGCTGGTGTAGTATCTCAAGATCTTCTTTCTTTATATTGTAGATGCCCCTGATCTTCAGGCACTTCAATCTGTGATTATCTCTTCGAAGCAACTTCACTGCTTCAATCACTCCACTGGGGTTTAAGCTTGTGCAACCTGGAAGCCAAAGCTGGGATGAAACGTAGTATTTCTGTTAGGGAACAACAAATTCAAACCATTTTCTTGCAAGATCAATGGAAAACAAAGTAATGGAAGAAAGGACACAGGAACATCATAATCATACTTGGGTTATAAGCGGATTTGCAGCTATGACTTTTAGAAGACCATCATCTGTAATCCTAGAACAATTCAACAAAGCCAAAGTATGTAGCCGACCCTGCGCTTTGGAGGTGAGATTGAACAGATGATCATCATTCAAACGCTTGTTTAAGGGCTTTCCCACCACAATATTTAGCCATGGCAAGATATCATTCTTCAAAGCTTCTCTGAATGATCTGCAGACTTGATTGAGGACAAGAAGCTCATATACAGGAAGGTATGATAAGGCAAGAAACAAAGCTTCATGCGGAAAACCATCCCCGCTTTCTTGGATTGGAGAAGCTATAATGGCTTCTTCTGATTCTTGGTGAAAATTCATTTCCAGTAGCTAAAAAATCATATTTGAGATTGTTTTTGTGCATGAGAAGTGAAGAACTTAAAAAAGAGAGAACCTGGGCTACACAAGTCGGCAGGATTTTTGGGATAAAGGAAGAAACTTACGTGTTGGTTTTTTTACTTGGTTAAGATTAGACTGCAACTCTGACAAAAATCATGGCTGAGAAAAATCCTTTTTTTAGGTCTTACAACAAATATTGGCACACTTATAATTTGAGAGTAATCATGATCTGCACAATACAAAGATAGGTCACGTCCCAAAAATAAGAGTCTGTGTTTGATGTCACTCTTTTTTATTTTTTTTTATTATCTCAAATTCATACTTAATGGTTTGTATGGACCACAGAAACGAAAGCTTGTACATATTCTCCTTTCCTCCAGCTATGTACATATAATTAATATCTGAATTTGGCAGACCAAAATGCATTCAAAATTCAAGAACTTGGCTATTACAGAGAAGAGATGGAGGATCAATAGTTCAATGGCCTAATGGTTCAACAGCGGTTTTGAACAGAAGAACATAAACCTTGTCAATTGAGAAATACAAGAAACCTCCAGTTGAATGTGTAACATATGACCCAAAGCTGGTTCCCACAATGCAGTGCCAAGCTGGACCATAAGTTGAATCAAATTCCTACACAGATGCCAACAGCCAACACAGAACAACAAACAGTCAAACACCCATCAGAAGAACTTCAGTCAAAAAGATTTCTGCTTTTTGGGGACAATGGTGTATTTGTATCAATCATTGTTCTTCTGTTTTTAGCTCATTACAATGCAGAGGGGAAATAATTCTTCCCTAAATACTAAATAGTAGTACTCCCTCCGTCCCAAAATAGAGAGGAACAATCATCCTTGGAAGGGCAATCTGTTTACCCAATAAGAAGGGCAATTCTGCATCAAAAGCCTTATATATTATTCATTTGATATAGGAAACATCAGAGATGGTATCAAGTTTCTATCAACATACTTTAAAGTCCGAAAAGAACTTTAAAGACCTTCTCTAACCCTGTATATTCATTCATTCAAGCAAATGTTCAAAATCCCAAAAAGAAAGAAAAAAACGAAATCCAGGATACCAGACCATCCTGCAACTAAAGAGGAGGTATTTTAACAGTTAACATTCAACATTTTCTGCAGTAAATGAAAGTGTTAATAATACCTTTTTAAGAGAAAGAGCAAGGCGTTTACTATCAAGCTTCCCAATAGGCATGGAGTCAAGATTCCCTCTAGCACACTTGAAGGCGTGATTCTGCAGATTCACATCCATATCAGAAGCCCTAACGCGTATGTTCCAGCGTTCATGCTGCTCTTTCTGCTCTACAGCTTTCTTCTTCAGTATCAAACTGTTCAAGAACTTACTCCTCCTTTCCAACTCTTCTTCAGCTGCCTCCATAATCACCAACCCTTCATTAATTTTGTGGGATTTCAACAAGAGGGGTTGTGATTATTTAGGCTGAAAAACAGAGAGGAGAGTAGCAATGAAGCAGATGAACAGAGCAAAACAAGAGAATCTGTGAGCCCAGTAAGTAAGAATATGATGTGCACAAAGTGTGGAAGAATAAAAATACGTGCAAAAAGTTATTACTTTTTGAGCTCTTTTATTGGTTTTTATTTTTTACTCTCTTGGCATTGTGGTTTTCCTTGGCTTTGGGGGCCTGTTTCCCTTCCATTCTTTTGAGGAAGGTTGTTCATTGTGCTGTGGCGTGTAGACTGGGTTTGCCTGGTTGGCAGAGTTTTAGAGGAGGGAGAAAATAAAAAGAATACGATTTGCTTTCCCGCAAATTCAGGTCTCAATAGTGTGTTTGAACTCATTAGTTCTTCTAATTGAATTACGCAAATTCTTGTGTTGTTTTAGTGCCTATTAATAACTTAACGTTATTTTACATTAGTGCCTAATTATTTGCTTTCCCGCAAATTCAGGTCTCAATAGTGTGTTTGAACTCATTAGTTCTTCTAATTGAATTACGCAAATTCTTGTGTTGTTTTAGTGCCTATTAATAACTTAACGTTATTTTACATTAGTGCCTAATTATTTTTACATTTTCTTCATTAGGGCCTTGTTTCTTCTAATAACTTACGGTATTAGGATGTCACATTCGGAAAACATACTATTGAGATTAGTGTATAAAAAACGATAACTTTCTGTTTCAAGTCTAGTCAATTGTCAATAATTTGAGGCATGGAAAATCCTTTGCCTAATCATCTACAATACTTGACCTAGTCTTATTACTATCAAGTCTTGAACCATTTAATACTTTCCCATTAGACTAGAGATTAAGATAGTTACCACGAAATTGTGCAAAACAAAAGGCATTGTTTCATCTTTTGATTTTTTTATGTAATGCTGAAGTGTGTATCAGTATCACTCCCAGGAGGATATCAGGCAATATTATTTGTGTAATACAAGAGTGTGTTGAACTTCTCGATTAGAAAACACAACTACTCCTTCCGTCTCATAATTATTGTTCAGTTTAAGTTTTCATTTCTAGTTCAAATTGTACTAAATGTGAAATCTGAAACTGGACAATAATTTTAGGACAGAGGAAGTATAAGAAATTTGAGAAAGCAAAATGAAGTATATTGGAGTTTCTTTATTTCATAACAGTGCTGATTATTGAGAGCCTCAAACAAAGTGTGGATGACTACTGTTGAATCTTAATTAGGTGTAACAAGTTAAAATTCTACACTGGAATTTTTTTTTATGTTATGCAGTGGTTTGAATCTCCTAAAGAAAGTAAATCGTATAAATTACTACTGTAGATTTCGTCCTCCATCCTTGGTCATCGGCATCCTGGCTCCGCCACTGGTTCTACTATGAAGGGGAGTTGGATCGGTGTCGCCGAGGTCGGCCACGCCTTCTCTTCTTCTTAGAAACAATATAGTTGTATGCATCAAGTAAGTGCGGTCGGAATCTGGGAAGATTCAACATCACATTCTGATGAGCAAGATACACTTGCTTGTGTACTTCCCATCCTGATCTTCTCATCACACTATCTGGATCAACCAGAACTGGATCATTTTTATCATATTTATCATACAATGAACTCTCCTCAGGGCTGATCTTGTAACCTACATACTTGAGTCCAAATTTCACTGTTGATCCTCCGAAATACTTCTGTGATAGCCAATCCATTCCAAGGGGTATGATTTGGATAAAAACCCCGCCAGGCTGCATGAACAAGAAATGTGTCAAGGCAGCGCCGTGAACTCCAACCATAACATCTTTCGAACTCACAGCTCGATAAACTATCGCGAGCTCAGTAGTATCGATAGGGGACACTACTTCCACTGAGAAACCAATCTTCTCCGCCATTTCCACCAATGCATCTTGATTAATGATCTCTCTCGACCCATTAATTCGCGCCATTATGACCAGCTTCGGTTTCTTTGAATCCTTGTTCTTTGGGTCCTTTGCCTGCATCTCCGCTAACAAAGCCAGTGATGATGAAGAATGATTTAGTGATCTAGCCAGTGCCCGCAATCTGATTTTAGCCTCTCGCTTTTCGTCTTGAATCAAAGTCTGAACTCGAGGCCAATAAGCTCGTCTCAGAAACTCTCTGAAGTGTCCAATAGTCACCTTAGTATTGCCAGCTTTTTCCATCAACGAAGGATTAATAGTGAGATCATCATGAACTCTTAATCCAACAATGGCTTCAGGGAAACAATGAGTTCGGTTATCACCACTAAAATCGATAACAGGGTAATTCGAAAGCTCCCTGACAATGTCACCATACCTAATAGGCCACCATTCTTTGTAATCAACAATCACAAAAACTACCTGCTTGTTTAAATGTTGGGCAGTATTGTATAGAGGGACAATTCCATCATTGAATTCGTGAAACAGATTACCAGTATACCCAGAAGTCGAGAAAAATAGCGCAGTGACATTATGTCGAACATCACAATGGCAAGAATCAGAACTCTTCTTTGAAGAATTTCCTTTCTTGATCATCAAAAGGTCCAGTTCTTGGACAGTACTCATCACATCTCGTTCCCATTTTCGCGTGTACGGCTTGATTGTTTCATGTTGAACAACTTCATCATCATCAACAACAGCAAAATTATCATCATCATCAGACAGCCCTAAAACATGATCATCATGACTGATTACTCCATTAGTACTATTCCCTGTATAGATGAACACTGAAGAGGTTGTGGAATCTGTTCTTACATCTCCTTTCATAATGCATACATCAGAACGGACACTCTTTCTATCACAGTACATTGTCCCTGTCTTTACCCAAATTAAACATCAGTGAATCAAACGTAAGAGAAGTGAAGAAATATGAAATCATTTGCTACATTTTCTTTGTTCAAAGCAATTGTAGGAGATGGTTGTGATTTGTGTGAACCCTCTGTTCTAATGCAGGTCGAGGCAAAGCCTAAGAAAACTTCACACCATTCATAATTTATTATTGAAATCGCATAATAAAAAGGGAAAATTGACTTGTCCAGGAAAACAGCAGAAAAACAGGAAACTCACCATTAGTATTGGAGACATATGAACAAAGGGAAGCATTATTTATATTAGCAGCCTCCTGAAAAGGTCCTCCATCTTCAACAACAAATAAATCTGCACACACACACACAAACAGACAGAGGAAGAGAAAGATTGAATTTGATATTAGATTATGTCACTAAAAAAGAACCCAAACAAGTAAAGAAATGGAAACAGAGAAAGGAAGAGGAGCTTACGAAGCGGTGAATCGGAGGAGGTGGGTCGGGAAGTAAAGTACTGATCAGGTGTAAATATTGAGAACCAAAAGAAGAAAGCCAGAATCACAAAGTAGTAAAGAAGCTTGTGTCTTCTTGTTGTTCTTTTGCCAAAAACAGAACAACTTCTGGAGACTAAATCGAGACAATAGGAAACGTCCTCCTCCTCCTCCTCCTCTCCGATGACTTTATTATACTCAACTTCCCCGGCCTTTCTCAATCGGTGCCGGAATTTATTATGTATAATCGCCATACAATAGATGGATTCCGTTTTTCCCTTTTACAGAAACACTACAAATTAACCACCCACCCACCACCGCATCAGGTGAAAAAAAGGTAGGAAGAACCAATAAATGCTGAAAAGAGTACAAATATGAAGGAGCGAGATTAGGCTAGAAGAAGGGGGAGTATAAAGTATAAACTACAAAAGCTTGTTTTTTTTGGTATTCAAGAACATGCATGCATGTGGGATTTTAATTGCAGGCTGGTTTTTCCAGATTTTCGGCCTCCATTGGGGAGGTTCTCCTACTCCTAAGTACAGTTTTTATTCTAGTATAATATATAAAGTTTCAAACTTTGATGGTATTATTTGAATTCCACTGGATTTGTTTGTTCCGGGAAATAGGGCGTATACAGGTGCGTGATTTTTGTCGGTTGACATGTAATCTAAGCTAGTGAAACCAGGACCAGCTACAAGGTGCAAAAAGGGTATCTTGCCCAGAAACATCGAATCCTCCTCAGTGTGGACAAGTTTTCATCCGAGTTGTAAAGGAAGTGATCCTATTAGTGAACCACAAACTCATGTAATAATTAGTACAGCACTAATATAACCACACCTTAAAATATTTTTTAGATTATTTTTTTGAGATAGAAGGAGTATAATATTGCAATTCCTCCATAGCACAGTGGTATAGGTATTTAGTTAGGGATTTTTGTGCGCCTTTTTTTTGTGTAAAAAAAACTTGCAAATTTTCAAGAAGAACAAAAGAGTACATAGTGTTCAACTCAGGATGAAGAGAATAATAAGCAGGAAATTAGGCAAAGGGAATCTTGTCTTAATGGAAAACTCACTCATTACAGTAACAGATTAAGACAAAACCCAAAATGAGAGTGCTACTAAACAACAAATGATTACAACTTCAATCAACTTCCATTGTTCTCCACGTGTTTATTAATCCCTCGCGCAAATCTCAATAATACTACTACTTATTACAATGGTTGTACAACACAATACATTATAACATAATAACAGATTAAGACTAATAATGAATAATGCGCACAGCAATACACAATTTTAAAAGCTAGCCTTAATTTATCTGCTCATTCCTCCTTCAACCACTGGAGCCATTGCAACTCCTTTGTTCTGCCTCTCCATATTTCCATGCCATCCTGAAGATACCAAAACCACATGAGAAAACAAAAAAAAAGCCCACCTTTAACAACAACTATTATAAAATCATGTGACAATTACTTAAAGTTCTGAAACAGAGTTTAAGGTAGATTAACATACCAATTTGCATGTCATATCCACGGTTTCTAAGCTCACGATACTCTTGGCAGAGGGCACAGGCCTCACAACAGCAATGGACAAAACAATCATTGCAAGGGTCTTCTTGCAATGAATACTGCTGTCTCATCTTTGAACGATAGAAACAAGAGTAAAAACACGAGCACCCAGTCACACAAGCTATCAGAGTGTAAAGGGCACCATTGGATCCACAAGCTGTATCAAAAATTTTAAAAATGAAAAAAACAGGGGAAAGAACATCAAATTACCAGCTTGATCCTTGGGTTATTGATAAAATTATTGTAGTATAATAACAAATTACTTACAGCTTGATCCTTTATCCACAATCTCGGAAATCTGTCCGAAAGTGATGCAGGGGCACCAGCAAGTGATGCAACCTGTAATGACAAATCAGAACCCAAAATCAATAAAAAATACAACGAGACAGGTTGTGCGGCGCGTGTGTGGAACGCGCCACCGTGAAATGACATAACCGTTTGCGGTCTTACAGTTGCTGACGTCTGAGAAGCAGTCAAATAAGCCAGTGGACCAAGGGACCAGAACTTTAGGCTTAGCAGGGAAGGATTCTTCGGTAGTAGTCCCGGAGAAGTAACTCTCAGAGGTAGAATTCACCGGGATTCCGGTTGTTGTGGTGGTGGTTCCGGCATAGGAAGTTGGGGTCGTTCCGGCTGAGTATTTTGAGTCCATGTTCTGAATTCGTGGCAGCACAAACTGAGACGAGAAGAATTGTCAAAGAAATGGGGTGATGTTCGTGTAGTTGTTGAAGAGATTTTTAGAGGGCAAATTGCTTATGGAATGATTTCCTATATAAATAAATCAGATGATCTCGGTGGATTGATCATGAATCAGAGAAGTAGAAGATGATCAAAAGGAAAGAGATGAGATATGATTGTGAAAGTCAATGGTTGACAAGTCTACAGCCCACCAATTGCAGTCGGGCCAGTCAACAACGTGTATACTTTCTCTCTTCTTTTTTTTTTTTTTTCCTAATTTGATCAACTATTGAAAATCCATCACTATGGGATGAATAAAGGTAAGAAAAGCAGGTATATAAAATAGTGACTTGAAGAATTATGCCGTATGGATGAAATACAATTACTATTTTAAAATACATTTCACTTTGCGGGAAACTTATTACTTCTGACTTTGTTTAGAAAGTGATCCAAAAACATATAGTCCGTCTCAACTTAATTAAATATAAACTAAATTTGATTTTAATTTGTACATTATAATTAGAGGATCGAATGAAATATTTAGTTTCTACTACTTATGTCAACCAATGTAAGAAATGACACTTATCCGATGGTGGGGTAATATCTTTTTTGAGTCATAGTCTTCCGAGTTTTGGTGACACAATCTTTTGTACAGCAATACTTTTGGACAAAATGGCAAAAAAAAAATAGTGGGACTGGGGGCAAACGTCCGACGGCATGTCCCGTTTGGGGACCGAGACTGATTAAAAGCAAGTTGATGCAGCAAGTTGGCTGATAAGTTTGAGCACATTTAGTAATTGCATGTGATGAATCCATGAGTTTAAGGCTTTCATCCAGGTAATCACATCAATCTCAAATACTAGTATTCCTTACAACATGCATAGGAGATAATTGATTTATTAGTTTGGTCGTTGATGTAAACTTTTATGTGAGTTTTTAAAAATGTAATATAATCGCTTGGGAAAGAAGTGAAAAAGAAAAAGAACCACTGATGAGTAAGAAGCAATGGAGGAAACTTCCCGCACGCGGATTTGGCTCCTCCGGTCGCCGTTCGCCGTCAACATCGAGCATTCCTAGTCGGCCCAGGTCAACACACAGCGAAAGTTTGATTAGTTTCCCGGAAAGAATAACGAAATGGTCAGGAATCGTGTTTTCGTAATCATCATATTAGCTCATTAGCAGTGTTTATTAGTACTAGAACTTTTTAGTTCAGTATTTGAGTATTTTGAAGATCATTTACACCTCTGATATGTACTAAATGTTGAATTTTAAGATAATGGAATAAACAGAACCCCAAAAAAAGAATGTTCACATGTAATGTACCAAATTCTGCTTCAATGTAGTTATATATGAGATTTTAGCACGTAATTTAGAATAACTAATCACCATGAAAGGGGAAAAAAACAGAGATAAAAATTTTCCTTAGACAGACTCCCAATCTTAAATAACTCAAACTTTACATAACCTTACTAATTTTCTAGAGGCACACGAAAAATAAAAACTCAGAAGATTTTGGGGCGAGAGAAGATTTGTGGGAAAGGAAGGGATGGAGAGAGGCCGAAAAAATTGACAGCACAAAAAATGACGTTTTAATTGTTAACGTCAGGCGGTAAACGCCGTCGTTTATCCCGTCACATTAATTAGGTTATTTCTCTCGGCTAATGACATATTTGGTTGGCAAAAAAAGAAAAATAACTTTATTAATTGACGATTGTAGCATTGTTTTAAAGTACTGATGTCATGTCAATATATTAACCAATCAAAGGGTTCAATTTAAAATTGATGATATCATGTGAACTAATGGGCCAATCAAAATGCTCAATTTAATTTCTGACTAATGACGTTCGAGATTCTAAACTCATTAAAAGGCTTTTACTTATGTACGGATGAACCACGAGAGTTCCCGTTTTTAAAACAAATTTTGTTAATCTCATAAACCCTCGAGCGCTGCCCTTCTCATATCTGTATTGGTATTTAGTACTCCCCCCGTTCCAAAATAAGTGTCGGTTTAACAAAATGAAGAAATTTCAAAATAAGTGTCGTTCTCACATTTCAGTGCACTTTTTATCCAAAATTTCTAAAATTACCCTCAAAAGAATTACTACTATTGGTGGACATTTTTTGGTGGGGTTGGTTGATGATATTCAAGTAATAAAATTGTGATTATTATCGTGCAAATGATAGGACCACCAAAACCTAGCATTTAATAGACAATCAGATGTAAGATATGTATATAGAGAAACTGATTAATCTTTTTGTTATTTTTAATTTAGTGTCTGTAGTTCGAGATTATCTTCCTTGGAGGAATGACAACAACTGAATAGTAAAATAATCAAATCCACTAAATGGAGTATTGTCGCGATTGCATTATGATACTTTGTGATTTGTTTATTAGCGTGACATTTGATTTTGACCAAGAAAACACTAGTGTAGTGGTGACGGTTAATCAAACTAATGGATCAACTTGTTGACCCGGCCGAGTCCGCTCCGCATCCGAAAAAAGAGATGTCTGCTCGTAAAGTTCTGGTAGGTTGATGTATAATGGGCTCAAAATTGGTCCAGCTTCTTTGATCGTCATTGGGCTGGGTAAAGAAAGTTATTTACGTGGCCCACAGTTGATTCCTTAATTTATTCTAGAGTTGCCAGGTAGCACAACTACGTGTTGATTCTACACACCGAAAAGCACTGTGACGACGCCACGTGGCCGCTCCCGCCCAAACTCCGCCATCCTCTATGTATTACTCCGTCCTCCCCTAACCGCCACGACCAAAACTCGAGAATTGACGAAGCAAAAACCAAACGAAGAAAAAAAAAGAAAAAACAATGGCTTTGGAATGGATAGTGTTGGGCGCGGCGACGGCGGCAGAGGCGGCGATGGTGTTGCTGCTGACGATTCCGGTGCCGATCCACCTGCGGGCGGGGCTGAGCTCCATCGCGCGAGCCTCGCTGAAGCCGTTCCTGACGGTGATCCCGTTCAGCGTGTTCTTGCTGTTGGATATATATTGGAAGTACGAGACCCGGGCGAGGTGTGACGTGGCCGGGTCGTGCACCCCGACGGAACTGCTGAGGCATCAGAAATCGATGATGAAGAGCGAGCGGAACGGGTTGCTGGTGGCCACCGCGCTCATCTTTTATTGGCTGCTCTTCTCGGTCAGCCGCCTCGTGGTTCAGGTGGATCTCCTCAATCAGAAGATTGACAAGATGAAGGATGAGTGACGTGTCTGTCTCCCTGTGTGTGTGTGCGTGTTTTTTTTTTTAATTTATTTATTTATTGTTAATTACAACTTCAAATTAACTGTGGTAATGTAGTGGTTGTCATAAAGCATTAAGAAGAAATTTTAATTAGTTGCGGTCGTTCCTTCCTATCTATTAATATTGTCGATGTTGAATATTTTATGCTGCTTTCGCTTTCGGATTTGGTTTTGTTTGATTGATTGATTATCTCCTAATCTTTGGAAAGCCGAACTTGGATAGTTTAGAGATAGCTTCCACGTCTGAGAAAGGTTTTTTTTTTTTAGGGAAAGCCGTAATACTACTATCATCTCAGGTGGATGAGACGCATTAACACAATCAAATGTTTGGAGCACAGGAATTTTTTTATTTTTTTTTTTTAATGTAGGATTAAGGATTCAGTCACTTGGCGATTAAATCCTAAATCCTTGCCGAAGCTCATCAACATGTATATACACTTTTAATTAATCACGTGTGGGACATGGTCCGGATTGAGCTAGCAATCCCTCCATTATAAGCGTTGAAGGAATAATTTCGAGCATGATTTGAGAGGAAAAGGTTCAAACTCAAAAGTGAAAGGGTATAGTTGATCATGTTATCTACCATGATTGATTAGAGTTAAGAGAGTCGCCCCACTCTCCCACCTATTGCAGAACAAAGTCAGATGCATAACTGTTTACAAAGGAAGATTGTGGCTACTTAAATAGAGTTACATTTTGCACTCCAATTATTCATGCCCACTTTAGTGTTTGTGTGGCCTTCAAATATTTTGGGTCAGTCTCCTTGATTGAGTTTTACCGTCTTGATCTTGATTGTGGAAAAAATGAAAACCAACTTTGGCAATACCACACGATTTTGCATTATTAAAATCCATTGAAAATAATGCATCTCTGTACTTACTTCTACTTTTTTTTTTTTTTATAATGTTTTTAAAGTCACAAAAAAGGTTAGACGGTTCAAACTCAAGCTACAAAGTTGAACCATTGCATCACATTTATACGGAGGAGGCTATGAAGTGGAATTGAGTTTGTGAAGTCAAGTAGAAGATGTTCTCTCTTAATGCATGTCTCAATTTTTGAATCCAGTTTATAATGTCGTGAGACTCTTGCCTTTAAGTATAGTGATTGTAAGTTTTATTCTTACTGTTTAAATAGTTCACTTTTAGCCACCATCAGGAGCACTGCACTACTTTGGTGGCTAAATCATGATGTACTAGGGATCACGTATCTTAGAGATGTAGTTGTGTAATCTAAAGGATTAATACTGTCCTTTTGAATAAAAAAAAAAATAGTTTACTTTTACATTAACTCTCACTATTTTTTTTTGAGAGAGATGAAGCATTATGTCATAAAAAAATAATTAAAAAAAAGAGAGAGAGTAGTAGTAACCAAGAAGTGATACGTCAATTCGATTCATAAATGACGCATATCATCGATCTATGGTAAAAATGTAACATTTACAAACGAATAAAAGTTTTTGAGGTGAAATCAAATTCGAAAGTGCCACAAAAGTGACAATAGTAAGTCTAACCTTTCAGGAGCTACTTCCTATGAAGGGGTACATTATCAGAATGGACCATTATTTTTGTACATATATATGCACTATATCTATTATTCCCTGGTTGAGTGAGAGAGTATGCAAGTTGGGTGGGGGTGGGGCGGGTGGGTACCAATCTCTAGGCTTCTTTGGTTTCCTTTATTTCCTGGAAACCTCAAATTTTGTATGTACCTTTAACCTTTAAGTCAATTACAAGGAAGGCGAAACTTCACAAAAGCATGGACAGAACGACATAAAAGGAAAGCCATAGGGGCCATGAAAGAGTGAGGAAAGCAATAGATCTCCAAACTTCAAAATCAAATATTTACCAGAAGAATTCCTGATCAGTGCCCTATTTTCCACCTGTGCCAAAAGACAGACAAAAAAAAAAAAAAAAAATCTTAATGAGCTTGTGTTCTTTTAACATCTTTCAACATTTGGGCAATGCAATCAGTAAGTGAATTATTTGATTGTATCCCAAAGTGCATGGAGATCCTCATTAATTGGTCTCTTTTCAACATAAAGGGACATAACTTTAGTCACCCCGTAACCAGTTAATCCTCTTAACATTACATACTATACATTAACACATGAGTTCACATTTCATATTGAAAAGAACCATGTCATATATAGATCCAAAAGTTATCTATACCATACGCTCCCTCCGTCCAAACTGGACAATAATTTTGGGACGAAGGGAGTACAAGATAGCATCTCGACCTTAGCAAGCTCATATAGTTTCAAGATTCTACAAATAACATCTAAAGAATTCGAAATTAAGAAACACGAACCTTTCTTCTCTATGAGTCTATTGAAAGCGGACAAGAGAAAAACAAGCAAAGTGACTCCAGCAATGCCTCCGATTATAATTGCAAGAGTCTTGTCCATCTCATCATTATTGTCTGAAAAGGTTTACACAATTGCAAAGAAGATTAGAGACCACTTCATCTTTTCTTGGAGTGCATATAGTATGAGACTAACTAGTGGAGCTGCTTTTCATAAAGTAGCACACCAAACAATTTGAATCTATCACATATAAAAAGGTTATAGACTATGGTATTCAAATATTTACAATCTAAAAAGCTTTACAATGCAATGTTGTCGTATAAAAGTAGCCGAAAATGTGTTTGTCACATACACATATATATATGGAATACCAAAGGGTTTTTTTTTTTTTTTTTTTTTTTTTTTTTTGGGGTGACCTCCGATAACTGAAGAGTAGCAAGACTACACAAAATTGACACCGACAAATTAGATTATGTGTTGTTACGTTGTTACTCATCTTTACTTTGTTTTGGCGAACTGCCAATTGCATCAATACGCATTGGGATGTCCTATTATAATGGTTGAGTGAGGAATTTACAGATCTTGTTTTCAAGCATTTTCTCTTAGTCTCTCCTTCAAAAAAACTTATAATTGACAAAATGCCACCGGTTTTTAATTGACTGACTCTAGTAGTTAAGTTCAATTGCAAACTGGGCAATTTTAATTTGGTGAAGAACTATTTCTTCCCGAAGGATAATTAAAACAAATGGTCTGTCTAATTAATCTCATCCACTGATATATGTCATTGAAGTCATCCATTTATTTATGTTTACAGTTGTCTTTTCTTTTTTTTTTTCTTTGTTTGTTAAACTATTTAGTACAACAATTATTTTCAGACGTAAAAGGTGTGAGAAATCGGTGAACTAACTAGATTTTGTGAATGTTATCCATAAACCCAACTAATTAAATGGTCCAACGCTACGCATAACATGCATGAATTGAATACAAACCTTGAGGTTAACGATAATGTGATATGTTTAGTACTACTATAATTGAATTATTTCCTACTGTTCAGTTCATAGGCCATAGCCCTACCGGATGACATGATATGATTTTTTATTTTTTTTCTCTCTTTCTAAAGAAAAATATAGTTAACAAAACTTTCCCATCATACAACATCTTTCCTTTTTCTCTCCAAACTGATTTGAATCCCCAATTTATTAACCAAAATATCAATTAGTCAACGGTAAACTACTCCATGGTGAAAAATTCAACCTTTAGAATTAGGCATGCAACAACAACAGTTGATATTACTACACTATGTAACATAATAACAAGTTCAGATATGTCCCCCAAACCACAAAAACTAATTAACATAAAGAAAAGGTGAATACTTGATACTAATTCCTAAGCTTTAATTTAAACTAATACTACTACTACTAGAAAAAGGAAAGGAAAAGAAAAAGAGCGAAATAGAAGAAAACCGTGAACCACCAATGAAGGTGGTGGAGCTGGAGGAGCCGCTTACCATGACCGCCCGCGTGATACCCATGCTCCGTGTACCGCGCGTAGCATTTCCCATAGAACATATCCCCCCACGCAGCGCTCCCGCACTCGTTCTTCAGCCGTCCGATCGCATCCGACAAGCAATCCTGACACTCGCCCCCACTCAGATCCTGCACGCACTGCGCCACCCCCTGAACGTTCCCGGACCCGCCCACCCGAAAATACTGGCCTCCGCCGCCGCCGCCCGCCGTCAGGTACCCCAACACCGCGTCCCGGCGCGTCAACGCGTCGGAGTCGTACCCGATGGACGGCCCGCACCGGTGGAGCGCCACCGTCTTGTCCTCGGTGCCGAAGAAGGAAACGTTGTCGTACTTGACGAGGCAGCCGTCGAGCTGCAACGCGCCGCCGGAGGTGTAGACGCAGGCGGTGCCGAGTTGGCTGACTGCATGGGCTACGCAGGAGGAGCAGTCGGAGGTGCTGAGGTCGCCCCGGCATTGGTAGAGGGCGTAAATGACGTCGTTTTGGGAGGACCCCGGTAGGGAGACTTTGAAGTTGTTGAAGTTTGAGGTGACGGCGGAGTTGACTAAGGAAGTGAGGGCCGAGTTTACGTTTGACTCGTAAACGGTGCCCGGACTGAATTTGAGCTGCGTACAGCCGGCGTATATGAAGCTGTCCGTGGAAGCTGAGGTTGGGTTTATGATGATAATCGATGAACCGATGAAGAAACTCATGAAAATATTCATCTTCGTGATCATCATCATCATCATCATCATCATGAGTTCTGTTTTCTTCTTTGCTTGCATTATGTGTGATGAGGAAAAAAAGGGATGATACGAATGTGTGTGTGTGTGTGTGTGTGTTTGTGAGTCGTGGAAAATGGCTTTATGGGCTGTGAGTCATCTGATATGTATTTTGGGAGAAGTTAGATGATGAGTATGCTGAGTAATTTTCATTCAAAAAAAAAAAAAAAGGAAGGAAACATGGATGGAGTGAAAAATAATGAAGGTGGTTTACTATTGTGCTTAATGTTTGAAAGAATTACACATGATAAGGAAAATTTGTTTGACCTGTTTAGCTCACTGTTCAACTTACTTATATTAGATTGAAATTTTTCTTTTCCCTCTTTTTGTGGAATAAAATGTGATATCTTTCTTGTTTTTCAATGAATCAAAAGTCTAAACCATCCAAGTGCTTTTTTTTCCTTGTATTTCTTGGCACCCAAAAAAGAAACAATTAATGTTCAAAAAAAAAAAACCCATTTCTTGTGAAGAATTGTGGTTATGGGAAGCATTTGTTACGTCTGTATTAAGTCAGGGTATGAAATAGTAAAAAGTGTCTTTAATTTAAAACTTGTACTTTCTTTCAACTTTATCAACATGTAAGCGCGCCTTTTAACAAAAATTTTAGGTCTTTTCACCATACTATATTCTTGAGTTATTTGAATAGGATTGAATACGACCATAACATGGTCTGAAAGTTTGTCGAAATAGAAAACAAAATTGACTACATCACTCTCAAAGGTTAATGACTTAAGCCACAAATAACTTCATCTACTTGAACAAACAAGAAATTAAAAGTTGATTAGGTAAAAGGATTACCAGAAATGATGCATAGTTAAGGTACATGTAACTTTAATTGTTTTCTTTTTTTAAGTCTTCGTTCAGCTCCTTAATACGTTTACAAACTCAGCGAGAGATTGATCACTATTATTTTTTAGTACAATGAAAGGAGGCATAAGCCTAGTTTAGGTGACTAAAACCTTCCTTGGATAGGAGATTGATCACTATTATTGATATGGGATAAAACAAAATTTTATTCCTTCTGCACGAAAAAGAAAAATCCTATTTTGATATACTGTTTTAATTTAAGAATATTGTTGTTTTTTATTTTTTTGTTTTATTTTTGGATAGGGATTAGTAGTATCGCAGTGGCAGAGATAAGTTTCTAATCATTCGGTAGCAACGTGAAAGCTGACAAAAGATTTGGTTATCAAATAATGTATACTTTTTGTTACGCTAATAATTTCATCACTATGGTCTTTAAATATATATGTTTAAAAAATGTACTAACAACCATGAAAAGGCAAACTATTATAATACCTAACCATTAAACTATATCATGTAGAAGGTATAAGAACATTTATATAATTGGGAGCTTTTCGGAAAATAGGACGCATGCATGTAATGTCAAAAGTTAGAAGTTGAATCCAAGAACTTTCGGACGTATGGTATTATGTAAATAGAAGAATTCTGTTAAATTATTTACCCCTTTTGTCTAGTTTTCCTTTTGATTTTGCTTTTAGCGCATGAGAGAGTCCATACCAAGAATTATTCACTTTTCACGAACTAAAATACTGTACCTAAGTTTAGACAATTTGGCCAATGGAGAACACAAAAATAGTCCTTAATTATGGAGTCAAAGTAAGCCATCTAAAATTGTACTCCCTACGTCTCAAAATTATTGTTCGATTTGGAATTTCATTTTTAGTACAAATTGAACTAAAAACGAAAATTTAAAATGGATAATAATTTTGGGACAGAGAGAATATATTTTAAGGCTAGCAGGAGTAAGTACAGTCTACAGGCCACATCGGCAACAACCCGGAGTCCGCCTTGGCCGGTAGACTATCAACATTCTATACTTTTTTTCAAAATAAAAGTTTTGTTTATCATACGTATTGTTAATATTTTTTCTTTATGTTCATAACACCAACAATGTTGGTCTTGATAAATACAAAAATCTCACTTACGTACTTCTTGTGCATGTATGGATACGACAAAAATTTAATTGTTGAGCGCAAGAATACAGAATTTCAGGCTAATATTGACGTGTTGGGATGTTGCTTGGTGTGGAATTTACGTGAGGAAATCCATATGAATTTAGAAAAATATACGTAAATTCTGCGTTGGTGGTGCGTTGCATGTGCTCTAGTGTAGATTGCATATCTGATGAAAAATGTATGGACCATCATAACACGAAATGAGAGATTGTAGAAAAAGCCGAACTCGATCGACACTTTTTTTGCATACTTCTGACTTTGGAAATTCGGAGTAAAGGAAGATATATATATAGAGGCGTTAAAAGGGAGGACCTCATAAATTGTTCATCTTCAAGTGCCTTCGGGAAAACTCAGAATTTTATTTCCTTGACTGACTCGAATTGGATTTAGTAAAGTAACGGCTTTGAACATAGCAAAATTACAGAGTAATAATTTGAAGGAGATCACATTTTAACCTTCTCTACGTACGTATATATGTTTAACTTACAATCAAGCAAAATTAAGTATTAAAATCATTAGTGTGCGTATGCATATGTTTTTTTTTTATATATATAATATTCATCAAATACAACAGATTCCTTTCACCAGAATATACGAGTTTACTTTATTTTAATCAATAACTTTAATATTGGACAGAAAGGAGTACAACAAACAATTTTTTTTTTTTTTTTAAAAAAAGATGATGAAATGGAGAATCTGTAAATTAACGGGCAGTTAAATTGATTGAGCCGCAGCATCCAATGCAAGGCTATACCGTCAATTTCTACAACCTACTCATAACTTTCCAATGAATCAAAAAATAATAAAAAAATTGAAAAATATGAATGTTAGACTCGAGAAGTAAGCTGTAATGTCTTCATCTTATATGTCCAAGGGATCTCACAAAACAGGAAACCCTCGTTTTCTTGTCTCTTCTTTTTCCACTGGGTGAATAGTGAGAGAGAGAGAGAGAGTAGGACTACAAAAGAGTACGTGGTGGACATTTAAGATATGGAAGTTGCATTATAATTTAACACAAAGTGGATATCGACAACGATAGATAGAGTGGGAAAAAGAAAAGAAAAAAAAACAAAGAGAGAAGGTCGCACTTACTTTTATATATTATTATTATCATATTATTAATCCAATTATTTGAAGTGTCCTTTAAATATTTATTTATGTTGCAACCAGCAACGGTACTCCGTGATTATTTATTTATTTTGTGTGCATTCTGCCAACGACATTTTTTTGATAACCATTCAACCACATAATAATCACTATAATTCCTATATATATGCTAAACTGTGTCGCGAGCAATTCATGCCACCATACGTTTCTATATATGTAAAGTTGTTCACCAATTTCCGTTGAAAGAGAACTATCATATATTATTATGTTAAATTCAAACTATTAGATAGATGATAACGATTTATCGTCCTAAAGTACTAGAACAAATAAAGATAACCATTTTAAGACGTAAATATTATTCGATTATTTGGAGGACAAATTAAAGCTTTGTTTGTTTCTTGTTTTTGATGGTTTTTCCGAAATTATCAATTAATAACTGTCCCATCCCATCATACCTTTTTACGTTTTTAGTACATTTTTTTATATTTTTAATATAAAAAACACCCATAAAATTCAACAATTGATTGATGTGTGCATGGGACTGAATTACTGTTTTTCGATTTCGATATAATAAGCAAATTCAGCCCGAGTTCGGTTTATTTTATGTTCAAAATACGGGCCACATGTCATTAATTCTTTCTACTAAAAGCCCAATCTTATTTTAGATAGTGAAGCCAATTCAAGATTAAGTCCTGAATTTCAAAATCTCCAAGGTCATGACTCAAGAGAACACTTCTTCGGCCCACTGAATTCCAGATCAAAGAAAACTTTCCCACGCATATTTTGTTGTTTTTTTATTAATAAATACAAAGATGAACGAATAAAAAGAGAAGCGAATGGTAGTATATATACCTCCAACTTCAAACCTAAATTAACAATGTAAATGAATGAATGACCATTGATTATAAAGAGCCAACAAAGGCTTATATCACATTTACTTTAGCAATATGGTTCTTATTACGTACAGTATAACCTTATAGGTACAACTAATTGAAATAATTTATATTTTATGTAAATAGAGAAATTGAAGTATACGTCCATTTTAATTTTTTTGCATTAATAAGTAGTGCTTAAAGCCTTCTCCTTTGCCATTTTTCCAAACAGGCTTCCATCATAAACCGCTTTGACAGTTTCCTTAGGTAGTAATCCTTGTTTATCCTTTCCCACCTTGTACAGAATTTTCCATTCAATGTAGGCTGCAATCCTGGCAATTATTTAACACGACTGTAAAAGATGGCATATAATAAAACTCTTACATTATGATTTATTCATGAGTGAGCTAGTAAAGTTTTATTTCTACTATTTTTGGTAGTTAAAAAAAAATTATAGAATTATCTTAGGGACCGAAAAAATGAATAAAGAAAGCAGAATACTGCACATACCACCCGCCAAAGTCCTTAGGTTGCCGGTTTGCCTTGAGTAATTCATTCAACTCTTGTGCGGTTAAGGCATTTGGATTTGTGTGAGCATGCTGTTTAAACATCTGCTCAAACTTTGTTGCAACGAACCTTCAAACCGCATTGAATATGATTTGTGTTAATGTACAAGTAATCCTCATAATATATTGCTTATACTATTTATTTTGTAGTTACGTCTCATAATAAGAATCATATTTGTTGAACTAAAACAGTAACACAGACAAGAATTTTATTTTGAAAAACGTAGTTGTTGGTTCTTTTGGGAAGATAAATTATGCAAGTTATGAACATGCTTTACTCAAAGTGATCGGAGAAGTCGACAGCAAAGTGGTTTTAGTCTAGAAGGTCTTGAAGGAATCTGTCACGGGAATTAATTAAAACAGTTGCTAGATTAGTAAAGTGTGAATCGTCAAACTAACGTTGTTAACATATGATCTGTTCCGAGAGGTCAATTTTGCGACAGATTATTTTACTTGATTTGACGACTATCCAAAACCATCCACATTAACGTGCGTAATTAGGAGTACGCACACCTCCTTAATTTAGAAGTGTATGAATAAGTTTTTGGCTCTTTCATTTTACATAAAAAGAAAGCAGAGGAATTTGCAACGAAAACCTTTACCTTCCTTGGGTGTCGTAAACGCCAGAATCACTCCCATGCTTGGCTTTCTTGATGTTTTTCACTTCAATTGGGAACCGAAGAGTGAAACCCTTATCCTACACCATGGGCAAATTAAAGAGCTACATAAGTTGACCAGATTCCTTCATTTATGTAAGGTTGCTTCAACAACGTGAAAACACTCAATATATATAGAGTTTTGAGATTTCTACAGGAATTCCAAATTATTGAACAACAAAACAAAAGAAGACCATTTAAAACCATTCCTTTTCTTCATTTCAAGTGATACGGAAACTTCTGAAAATGGAAACAATGACTACTAAATGTATAACAAATTTATTTAATTCTTTTTCTTTGTAAATTATGATCATTACGGAAAATGTGTATAGTAACATAATTGTACCATAGAGACATACTTTCAAATGAAGGATGTGTGGAAAAGAGAGAAAGGGGATTTTATAATTACGCTTCTAGTTTTGCTACTGAGACTCAGATGAATAAAAATTGCGGCAAAGCCCGACAACAGAATCCCACATCCAATTGCACGAAAACCTGAAAAAACATGTAAATAATTTGATCAGTACCTTCTAATTTTTATTTATTTTTTAAAATCAAAAGGAAAACAGAGAGAATAATGTGGTTAATAACCTTTGAAAGTTTCCCAAGGATAAATAAAGCCATCGTTGTTACTATCGAAGAACATAACATGCTTTTGTAGAGCGCTCGGTTCATCATTCCCTTCTATTCCCCCTGCACCACCAAAATTCATTCCATACTTGGTAAATTAATTCATTAGTTTCTTTTTCATTAAAAAAAAAATCCTTTATAAACAACTCATTAAAACAATTATACGGGTGGAAGTCTACCAAATTCAAACACGATGGGTACAGTCTTATTTAGTTCAATAAAAATGATTAAAATTTTGTTTAAGAAGCTGGCGAAAAGAGAAAAAAGAAAATGCAAGGATGAAAACTATATAATTAATTTATTTGTAATAGAAGATTTTTTTTTTTTAAAAAAAACCCTTCATATAAAATCTAAGGAACGGAGCAACTGCTGCGCTGATTTCCTTAGGCCTTGTAGTATCTATTCTAAGGGATACATAAATATATACCATGGTTGTTATTGTTGTTTGAATCTTGAGAGACACAAAAAATTGAAGTGGACTTGGCCATCTATTTTAACTAAAACCAACACAAAAAGGATTGATTGTGGGGGTAGGGGGTGATTTCCCTTAGCAGAGAAAGAAGGAAAAGAATCTGAAGAGAGAATAATGAATAACCAAAAAAAAACCTGGTGTCTCTATTTATGGGTTTATGCTTTGGATCCTCACGCACCGGATGCTTTCGTTTTGTACTTTGTCTAAGAGGTAAACAATGGATGCTTATCTTTTTCTATATTAATTCACCGTCGTCGGATGCATTGATTAATTCTCTTTGTTGAATTGTAAATTAGTGAAATAATTAGTCGAAAATCATGAATACTTTAATTATATAATTTGCTTACATAAGCTACTCGGTGTGTCAATAAGAACAAGAAATGATATGGAAACTAAAGTCCTCGCAAACAAGGTAAAAAAGAATCCATTCCCAGACCGATAAAATTGTTTTTAAATGGATCACGATTATGACAAAATAAAAGATTATGATCAGGAGATGATTGAAGACATGCGAACCTTCACTTTACACATCAACTCTTAGTTTATTAATTAGCGATTAATTAAACCACAAAGAATTAATCATTGGATTCGTTTCGCTTTTACGCGAATTAAAATACTATAGGGAGTAATACTTTTGCGCTTCACAATTGAAATCGTCGTCTGAATGCATATAATTTGCATTGCACCTTTAAACTATTAATTTGGCTTTGTATTATATTAAAGAATGAGGATAAACAATGTTTCTTAGCAGTGGCGGAGATAGGGGGCGGAGGAGCGCGGTCGCACCTGCTTAATTTTTTTGTAATTAGTAGGAATATCTTAAATTTTTAATAGAAATTATGTATTGAATCATTTTTCGCACCCCCTATATTGATTCCCAAACATCATTAGTAATTTTCTCTAAATTTCGCACCCCTTAATATTGATTACCTGGCTCCGCCACTATTTCTTAGCTTGTAAGTTCTGTTGTTATTTTATATACACACTCCATTACGGCGTTTTCCTACTGTCTGGGATGCTAACAAAATCAACATAACTTTATGGCTGAGTTGGAAAGATGAATATTGCATGTTTGATCAACCTAATTTTAGCCTCATCATTCATACAGTGTAACATTAATTGGGTCTCTTAAAGTATATATATCAAATTCAAGCGATGTGAATATGTAGAAAAAATATAACACGGGGGAAGTAATCATCTTTAAAATTACAGTTATCGTAAAGCTGATGGATCTATTCGAGAAATGCATAATGTGACAATCTTTCTACGTAACCGAAGCTAAAAATTTTCTTCCGCTGAAGGACTAATTTGCTCTTTCTAATCTCTATGTTCTCTTATCTTTCCCATTAATTTTTATAATAAAATTCATTTCAAAGTATACGTTTCAGTTTTAATTCCCTTGAGCATAGAAAATTTAGAGAGAAAACCATAACATCCCGCAACTGGTAAGACATGAAAAAGGGGGTAAAAGAATCTTTGGTATCATTGTATACCTTCAATTTAATAATATGCCCATGTGTTTCAGAAAATAGTATTTTATTTTGGCACTATTACAATTCAATAAATATGATTGTAATTTTGAGACGAAGATACAAATAATAACGAACTAAATCATTTACTGCATGTTGAATATATACGAGTTATGCTTATATAATACAATAGCGCTCTAGTACCAAACCACAAATCCATGTATAAGCAATTCCTATGCAGATGAAATCATATTAACACACAACTAATTGAAATAATTTAAAAAAAAAATCGCTAGAGAAAATAAGAAGAGAGGGTGTAAAAATATTCTATTCTTTTACAAATAAATAGATTTATGCTTTTTTATTCGAAGCCTTCTCCTTTGCCATTCTTTCGAACAAGCTTCCATCAAACACAGCCTTGACAGTTTCCTTAGGCAGTAATCCTTGTTTATCCTTGCACAGTATGTAGAGTATCTTCCATTCGGAGTAGGCTGCAAGCCTGCCAATATTCATATTCATAACAATGTCACGATTGCTCGGGAAAATTTATAAAAGTCAAGAATCATGTTTGTTGAACTAGACAGAGACGAGTGAATAATTAATTAGATTGATATAAGTACCATCCAGCATAGTCCTTTGGTTGGCGGTTAGCAGTGAGTAAGTCATTCAATTCTTTGGAGGTTAAGGCATCCGGATTGGTGCGAGCATGCTTCTTGAATATCTCCTCAAACTTTGATGCCACGAACCTTCAAACCCAATGGAATTAATTGATTATAAAGCAAGCGAAAGAGACTACTAAACTAAAAATAGGTTCAATCAGCTGCCATTATTTCAAACTTCATAACAAATAAAATCAAGAAAATCATCAAAAGTTGATGAGGAAATAGGCGAAGTGGAAACATGAGTAATTGTAAAGGCTTTTTTTTTTTTTTTTTAGGCTTAAGCCGTAATTCCTTTCATTTATTTATTCATTTTTATCCGAGATACAAAAAAGGACATATAATGCTTATAAATACTATAGGAACGGCAAACCAATTGGAAATTCAACCAAAAAATAATAATAATAATGATAATCTAAAATATCTATGGGCCTCCCAATTGCATGTGGTGAAACCATGTTTTGGGAAGGATTTCCGTGGGAGGAGGAAATGGGGGGTATAGCATATATAAGGCGTGACATTTTGTGTTGGCTGAGGTAAGTACACACAACTAATAAAAGCATATATATATGGATGGAGGATGGTTTTCTTAAAAAGAGAAAAGGGAAATTAAATGTGCAAACAAAAGAAAACAAAAAAAAAAAAGAAAAAAGAAAAAGACGTACCTTCCTTCGGTGTCGTAAATGCCAGAATCACTGGTATGCTTTGCTTTTTTGATGTTCTTCACTTCAATTGGGAACGACAGCGAAAACCCCTTTTCCTGCATTATTGTGATTCCAGGAATATCATCAGTTTTGCGTAAGATTGTTTGTTGAGGCCATAATAAAAAGATTTAAGTCTCTGTATATAAAAACGCAAATCAAGCCTTGAATATATATATATTTAAACTCCAATTTGTGTCATAAATATATAGGAGCGGCAAATGAAATTGATTTTTCATAATTTACTTGTGCTTAGTTACCAAAATCAAGACAACTATATATGCAGAAGAGACAGACAGAAAGGGAATTTTACGCTTCTGGTTTTGCTACTAAGACCGAGATTGATGAAGAGGGCAGCCAGCACAGACAGCGGAATTCCACATCCAATTGCCCGGAAACCTGACAAAACAACACAACAAATCTCTCTCCATTAAATATAGTCATAGTTTACCACTTAATTAATATTATAACTGAACCCAAATACACTATTTTTTTTATTTTTTTTTACGTTACCTTTAAAAGTTTCCCATGGATAAACCACACCATCTTTGTTAATGTCGAAGAACATAACATGCTTCTGCAGAGCGCTTGGTTCTCCAATATTCCCTTCTACTACTCCGCCGTCTACACACACCGCGGAAAAAGAAAAAATCAAGTTTAAGCATCGAACACGACTATTTTTCAGAGACGGATCTAGGATTTCGATGTAAATTAATTATAGACGTAATTACAGAAACATATACGTACCATCGTTGCTTGATGATGAATCCTGCGACATCGTGTACTTCAACAATCGAAGAAGGAGAAAAAAAAAAATTTGTTCCACAAAATATGAGGATGATGAGGTAATAAAGTGGAGAAGGAATTGATAGATTGGGAGGGATTTGATTTCACTTGAGCACAGAACGAAGGAAAAGAATATGATTGATGAAATAGAATAAGCTTTTACAAAAAGGAAAGCAAGGTGAGGGTTTTAAGCTTTGGGGAAGGGAAGCGCTCTATTTATGGTTTTTGTTTGGATCACAAATATGTCAATTTCCAAATTTAAATTCATAAGAGATACTACTGTTGCTTTCTTTCTTTTTTTTTCTTTTTTTTTTCTTTTCTTTTGTTGTCCTAATGTCTTATAAGATAATGATGGCTTTGCTTTGCTGTCTACACTTTTGTAAATATATGGGAGTCCTTTTTTAGAAAAGCTTATTTGCAAAACTCACACGTTTTATATTTGTTTCCTTATTTATTTATTTTTTGTGCGTATTATACAGTGACTCTTACCCATTATAATAAGGTCAAGTTTTGATGGACTAAGACATTCTATATTCAGATTTGAAACTGACTCTCATTGTTACGAACTTAATATGCATGCTCAAAGTCGCTCAACTTGATATGTCATTTTTTTTTTTTATGAAAAAAACCATTAACTCATAATACTTATCCAACCACATCCTCTTCTTATTTTACTATACTCCCAAACCAAAATAGTTTATATTGAATATTGGTATTTATTCTTTTTTCATTGTTATTATTTATTTTTTGTATCGTCATTATATTCTTATTAAATTTTAAACAATAAAAACTAAAATAATAAATGTAGTATAATTTCTTTGAATTAATAGGGGTTGGAAGTGTGAGAATCTGTTTATTTAGAAAAATATTAAATAATCAATACATGAATTACTTATTAAATCTTAAAAATTTCCTTAAGGGAAAAAATCCACACTACGTTACCAAAAAAAAAAAAAAAAAGGGGATATTAAAGTCTTCTCAATACTAATATCCATACATAGTTTACATCATCTTCAGGACTATACCCATAATGTACATAGTATATATAGTCTTCTCAATACTGATACCCAAACATAATTTCTGTGTTGGTCCCAAATCGGGACGTGAGAGAATTATTAATTACTTGAAATTATTAAAATTATTTATTTAGTAACATTTTACTGTAGGCTCAAGCCTCCGAACCTTAGATCATTTTACTGTAGACACAAATAATTGGAAATTATGGAAATAATAATATTAATGTAACCACGAAATTGGCATATTATTATGGAATTGTGTAAAAGACTCTCTCATAAGATATGATGCCAATCTAAATAAAATTTCAGAATATTAATAATAAGTTCAGCAACCGGAAACTAGCTCACACCAAATCTTCTAAATAAAATTTCGGAGCGTTAATAATAAATTCAGCAACCGGAAAATCTAGCTCACAAGAAAACGAATATGAGTTTTAACAATGAGGATGAGTCTCATCAAGGGCGAGCCGATGCAATATTCCTTTTCAATGATGAGCAATTAACTAATCCACTCATCCATTAAGAGACAAATTGATTAGTTAATGAATGCAAAGCAAAATAAATAAATAAATAAATGGAGTGGAAGTTCATCGTTGATGACAAAAAAAAATAATAATAATAACGCGCCGGTTTTGTCTCAAACATTGGAATTTATCATATTCCATCCGTTCTATAATTACTGTGCAGTTTGAGTTTTCATTTCTAATTCAAGTTGTATTAAAACTGAAATCTCAAACTGGATAATAATTATGGGACGGAGGGAGTACTAGCTAATACTCTACATACGTATTTTGTGTATAATTAATCTTTTCTTGTTTGCATATGCTTGATTATCAACCCAAATCGTATATTAAAAACACATTGTCATTAGCCATAAACTAAAATATGCATGCTTGATGCTTCCATTTTTAATTCCAAGAAACTAATGGAATTAAAAAGAAATACTAGAATAAATCAGTTTTCATCACAAATTGATCTTGCCAGCTTCAATTTGAATGCTTGTACGAACGTTGGGCTATACACAACCAATGAAAAATGGAAAATCACTAGATTTTGGTAGGATTGACGTTAGGCCAAACAATTTCATGGACTTTCATTTTCTAGTGACCCTATTATTATTGAAAGTATGGCGGCTGAAGAAGCCATTGCTATTAGATTAGTTCCTCTCTCAAGATGATTGATGGTTGTCCAATTGGGGTGTTTTATAGTCATCAAGACAAGAAGTTGGGCGATTTTTTTAATTTTTTTTTTCAAGGGTCACTTAATGATGGATCCGTTTCATTGTGTTTTATCCATAATTTAGCCCAATTTATTACTCCATCCGTCCCATAATTATTGTCCAGTTTGGATTTTCATTTTTAGTTCAAATTATACTAAAAGTAAAATCTCAAACTGGACAATAATTTTGAAACAGAGGGAGTATAAAAATTTAGCTTTGAAAATTGGGAGTCAGTTTCGCATGTGTATATTAATGCATGTTGACAATATAAAAACTTTTATTTCTTTTTTGTATATATATATATATATATTTACTTTCCTTACGAATCAAACAATATGAATATTTTTATTTTTTTTTTGGACGAAGAAAAGAGGAAAGTAGAAGCGAATCACTGTACCTAACCCATTAGAGTAAGCAATGTAGCGTGTGAATGATTAAACAAAAACAGATTGTTACATGAAAAAAAAGGATTTTTATGATGATGATTATGACTATGATTGAACTTTCATGGGACCCTAGAAACAGAACAATTTCAGGAACACCAAGACGTTGAAGAAATGGGAACTTTCGCTTTACACATCAACTCTGTTAGTCAAATGAGTGATTATTACTATTATAATTAATTACTACCACACCCAATTAATGTGATTAGTTGCATTTCGCTTTTACGTGAATTAAAAATAATGCTTTTGCTTCAATCGAAATCTGTCGAGTGCACAATAATTGCAACCTTTATTTGGTCTAAAGAATGAGACTAAACATGTTTCTAAGGTCCCAAGTACTTATCAACTTCTTTAATCTGCATCTTATTCCGGCGTTTCTCACTGTCTCGAAGGTTAAGGATTTAACATAAATGGTTGATAAGATAAATGATGTTTGATTGACTCACAATCCTATTCACTTTGTTTCAGCACAAAATGAGTCTCGTTGACAAAATTTAAGAATTCGAACAAAGTGAATAGAAAAAACCTTAGCCCTCTGGAAAAGAATGCTTCCAGTGTTTTATGCCTGTTCAGGATGTGAGGTGACGAAAAGTTCGCAAGACACCCTCAAATTATAGCTCTCGCCCAATGAAGCCCAGCTGACCCAACAAAAAGCCTATTATCCAAGTAAGGGCCCAAGAACCTTTTTTTTTTTTTTTGGATTTGATCATAAAGTTTCATTCATTCATTCAAAAAAGCAGATACATTTTCAACATGCGATTGGCTAATCTATGCGCTTCTTCAACCATACCCCAGACTGACCTTCCGAATATTCCTACCAGTAGTAACTCTATTCAACATTAAATAGCAGCTTATCAACCTCCCTTTGCTAGCTTACAGAAAAGAGATCCCTCAGTTTCTTGCAACTTTTTGCAAGTAAGAGTGTTGCATGCAGTTCATTTCTCAGCAACAAACTCACATCAGCATGAGAGCCTTACTCTTCTTCACATTTTCGTGGCACTCAAATGAACATTCCGAAAAGTGTCATAACATTAAACGCACCAAATTAAAATGCCTTGGAGGTAACGAAGGCTTAATTATTAAGATCATCCTCTGACATACAAGCATGATGAATACTTAGACACTTTTGTTGCAGAATGGTTACATACTTGAGATACTTTCTATGTAGTTCCTTATATACATAAGATCAAGTCTCAATTGTAATTAAAGAATACAACACCTGAGCACCACTCCCTTTTGATCCACTCTTCCTTCTTCATTGCCTGTAACAACAATAACATTGTTCATCTCCTTTAATAGGCATATTCTTAATGGAAATATTTCCCATCCCAGATTGCCAGTATCAGTGATAATCACAGTGTAAATATCAGGAAGGAAACCAGGAAAAAAGCCTTTAACTATCAAGACAGTAGATACAGAACAGATCATCGCACATTGGTTATTATTATCTTTTATTTTTTATTTTTTGCATTTTAAAGGACCTATACTTCTTTTTATGAAGCAATTAGCTGGTTGGAGTCCATAACAAGCCAAACAATAGAAAACCTGAACATCATCAGAGGACAAGTTTTAAACAGACAAGTGATTACCATCAGGAGGCTGAGTGAGTTTACGATTTTCTGGAGACATCATTTCTTTCTTCAATTGTACAAGAATATCCTCCATTGTGCATTCCCTTTTCCAATTAGCAAGCATGGGAAACAGACTGGGTTCAACCTATTGGTTGAATAAACGGATAGGTTAAGTCATACAGTAGGCAATCACAAAGGAGAACTAGTGGAGCTCAGAGAGATGATGCTTACCACACCACTTTCTTTACTAACACAGCGCATGTTTATCCGCGTTTGGAACTTCACAGTAGGAGGCTCATCCGGGTATTCCTTGCCACAGAACAGCTTCAGTTGGTAAATCCGCCCCTCATGTACAGTCTATCAATAGAAAATTTTGTTATCAGTCAAACCTACTCTGCGCATTCAAAGGTACATTTGAGGTTCTTAATAGTAATTGGGAGGCATGGCAGTAGCTGGTCCAAAAAAAATAAATTGCCAACGGAAAATATGAAGAAAGAGGACCAACATTAGGTGGACCAATTATAGTTCCAGTCCATGACTGCATGTAGACATCATCCGCATCATCCATGCCGTAGCTGACAGTTCCATCTCCAATTCCCTTTTCACCTCTTTCTAGCTCTTCCAATAATCTAAAGTTTCTTGGAACTGAGAATCACAGATAATATTGGTTAAAATTTTCAGTGGGGAGAACTTCCTTTATTTACATAATCCAACGGCAAACTTACAGAAATAAAACAGTTTACTAAACTATTCACTTCTGTCAGTACACACCATGCTATTGCTATTTGCTGGTGCCCAAAGACAAAAAAAAACTTAGATGCATGAATAAGGGAGCTTATCATTAGCTGCCCTAAATCTAGGAATCCTACCGGTGATTCATTTCAAGATTCATATCATTCAAAATGAAACAGAGAGAGTTAGGGCGGAACTAGAACCAAAGACTTAAAACAAGGTCCGTAAACATTTATAGATACCTATATGAAGTAGCCATGCTTCTTTCAATTTTATGCAAGAAGGTGAGACCGTGCAACATATCACAAGAGTTCCACAAGCAACGGGCAAAAGAATGATCAAACCAAAAGTACCAAAATAGTTGCTCACAACTTTTGATCCACAAAACAGAAAACTTTGAACTAGCAGTGAGCCCACATTTCTCAAGTCCAATTATTGTAACATTATCACGCTATTGTTTTGAAATTTTCAGCATTGTAAGATCATGAACAGGCGCACAATCAAATCTAAATGAAATAATAATTAATTTGTAGATTAAAAGACTTCAACTCTGGCATTTAATTCCAACCAAATACAAAAACTTTGCAGACACCGAAACAAGGCGAACCACAGGAAAGAAAAGCCCTAATTGAGGAACCAAAAGGGTAAACACAGGAAACTAAGGCACACAAGCTGAAATAAAACATGCCATTCCAGCAAAAGAAGATAAAAGATAACTAAAGGACAATTTGATCAATTGTACACCGCCCAGAAAGCAAAAACTTGATCTCAATCAACCCAGAAAGGTATTCGTAAAAGAGTTACGACTTGAAGTAAGCTCACCAACAACACTTGAAGATCCTTCGGAGCCCATCTCCTGCTGCATTTCAGTAGAAAAAAAAAAAAAAAAACAAGATAGAAATGGGTTGATTTTGACAAAATCAAAAGACCCCCAATAGTTTGCAAAAGGATAGAAAATTGGGGGTTTAGTAGATTTGGAGGGGGAATTGGGAAAGTGAAAGGAACTTCTTATTCGGGAGGTGTACGTATGTAACGGTGGACTCGGTGCCACATTAAGAGGAGGGGATATTTTATTTAGAAGTTGAGTAAGACCGTAGTTCTCCCCACTGTGTGACTGTGTGTATTTGTCTGTTTAACACGAGTAATTGTATGTCTTTTAGTGCAATAATTTTCCACAAAGATTGGAGATAAGTACCAAAATGATCCCTATTTTTTCAGAAAATGAATTTTTACGCCCATATTTTGAAACATCATTTTCAAATGTCAATCAACCTGCCGCTATATTATCCAGAGAAATCCTTCCTCTTTCCCAGTTTCCTACCCATAACTCGGGACTCCGCCAAATTCCTCTCAAGAATCTCCTTTCTGGTTCCTTTTCCGATCGAAAATCCAGATGGCGGCAATTACCACGGCAATCCCGAACCACCAACCCGACCCGAACTCCCAAATTTCCCGCCAAGAGGAAGTGAAGAAGTTCGATGAGTCCAAAATCGGCGTCAAGGGTCTCGTTGACAGAGGGGTCACCTCCATTCCGGCCTTCTTCGTCCACCCAAACCCGCCTGACCGGAGCTCCCATCATTCAAACCCGACTCCGGATTTTGCCGATTCGGGTCCGACTCCGAAAATCCCGCTGATAGATTTCTCGTCTCCCAGGTCGACGATCGTTGACCAAGTCCGAGAAGCTGCTTCCAAATTTGGATTCTTCCAAATCATCAACCACTCGGTCCCGCCGAGCTCGATCAAGAAAATATTGACTGCCATCAAAGAGTTTTTTGAGCTCCCGGAGAGCGTAAAAATGGAGTATTACAGCCGGGAATTTACGAAAGGCGCTGTTTATTCCACTAATTTTGACCTCTACCAATCGAAAGCTGCCAGCTGGAGGGACACGCTCCAGATGGGTTTATCCCCGAATATGGCCGACCCGGAAAACGTTCCTCCGCCTTGCCGGGAAACTGTCCCGGAGTGGGACAAAGAAGTCGTGAAAATCTCCGAAGAAGTTCTGGATATACTTTTTGAAGGGTTAGGATTGGAGGACGGTTTAAACAAGTTGAAGGAGATGACTTGTCTGGATGGCCGGGTTATGGCAGCTCATTACTATCCGTATTGTCCCCAACCTGAATTGACTGCCGGACTGACGTCACATACGGACCCGGGATTGTTAACTGTGTTGGTTCAGAATCAGGTGCCTGGGTTACAAGTCAAAGTTGGAGATAAATGGGTTGATTTGGAGCCTGTGGAAGGTGGCATTATCATCAACATTGGGGACAATCTTCAGGTACTGTAATTCATCTGAAGCGTTCATTCTGTGTTTTGATGGTTATTTTTTATTATGAGTTCAGTACTTTCATATGGTTTATACTATGTCGGGTTTTCAACTGGTTTTAGGAATCTATGGTAAATTAGGAATAAAGGATTTCTCTTCTGGTATATGGATAATGGAGATATATGTATGTTAGAAACGTTTCGTGCTTATGTGATGTGTGATGTATGCATTGAGTCCTTGCTTTGGAGAGTTCCTTGCCTTTCATATTGCAATTCCAAATTAAACTTTTTCTCACGATTTTCCCAAGTTCGACCTTTTGGACATTTACCACTCTGTGCTGTCTATGCATTTGTTGTAATTATGTTCTTCATGATAGCTAGAGGAGAGTGGGTGAGGCTTGAGGTTGCTTGAAATGACTTACATGGATTGATGTTAGTAGAAATGTAGCTTGGCTTTGAAACGTGGTTAAAATTGGAACCATTAAACAGCTTAGGTGCATGTCCTAGTTTCCTTCAGTACCGAATACTTTCACTCTGTTGTAAATTCTTTTAGTTCTGACTTGCCAATGGTTCTGGAGTGGATAATTTGTTGATGTGATCCTGATCCTTTTCTGCAAATGAGATCCTTTTCGCACATACACTTCATAGTTGAGATGAGTTTAGCTCCGTTGTAAAAAATGAGTGGCGAATGAGTTTTTCCTTACAATTCGACATTACCATGTTCAATGGAATGCTAGAATCTCAAGTCTCAAATAAACTTTTCCAGTAATTTTTTTTTCTTTTTTGGGTATATTATCCATACGGTATCTGAAGTCATTGCTCTGTCTAATTTCTCTTCATATGAACAATCCTTTTGTGCAGATAATGTCCAACGATGAATACATTAGTGTGGAGCATAGAGTTTTAGCTAACCCTCTGCGCGAATCCCGTGTATCTGCTGCGGTATTTTTAAAGCCAAGCCGTAGAGATTTGTTGTGTGGACCTTTCCCAGAACTTACATCAGCTGAAAAACCAGCTCGTTTCCGGCAGTTCACGTTGGCTGACTACATGACCAGATTTTTCTCCAAGGAGTTAGATGGAAAGACCTTGGTGAATTACTACAGAGCCTGAAACCAAGTCAGAAAGAATGTCCATTGAAAGATGTACCATGTATAAACTTTCTACTCCTTGTATTGAGGAGATAAACAGAAATAGAAGGCTCTGTAGAAGAAGCCTAGTATGGTGTTCCATATTTGTGCAATTAATATGTATTTAATTGTTACTTACGCAATAGTCAAAACTCTTTTATACTAATACATATTCAAGCCAAATTGCTTCCTCTTCCCCCACTGATTCTTTCATTTTCAGCTCAAGTTCCGGAATCTCTCCCGGACTACACAATCTCCGCTCCTTTCTCTTTCCTAGACAGGATCTAGTACATGGCAGCTACAACTACAAATCCAGATCCGCTATCTGAGCTTCATATTCATATTTCCCGCCTTGATGAAGTGAAGAAGTTCAATGAGTCAAAAATCGGCGTCAAGGGACTCGTTGACCGAGGGATCACCAACATTCCAGCCTTCTTCGTCCACTCCGACTCACTCTGTTCTAGCCCCCCAGCAGTCAACCTCCATGCCTGAACCTGATTCGGGTCCAACAATCCCGGTAATAGATTTCTCCTCTCCCAGAGCCATGGTCGTTGACCAAGTTCGGCGAGCTGCTTCTTCATTGGGATTCTTCCAAATCATCAGCCATTCAGTCCCACCGAGCTCGATCAGAAAGATATTGGATGCCATCAAAGATTTTTTCGAGCTCCCTGAGGTCATAAAACTGGAGTATTATAGCTGGGAAATCTCAAAAGGCGTTCAGTACTTTACTAATTTTGATCTGTACAAATCAAAAGCCTGTAGCTGGAGGGACACCCTCCAGATGAGCTTACCTCTGAACTCTCTGAACCTGGAAAACTTGCCTCCACCGTGCAGGGAGACGGTGCCAGAGTGGGACTAAGAAGAGTTGAAAATCTCAGAAGAATTTCTGGATGTTCTCTGTGAAGGATTGGGGATGGAGGATGGTTTAAGCAAGTTGAAAGAGTTGAGCTGTTTAGATGGGCGGGTCATGGCGGCCCATTACTACCCTTACTGTCCGCAACCGGAATTGACAGCCGGACTAACATCGCATACGGATCCGAGGTTGTTGACTGTCTTGGTGCAGAATGAGATGCCTGGTTTGCAGATCAAAGTTGAGGAGAAATGGATAAATGTTGATCCTGTGAAGGGTGCCGTTCTCATGAACATCGGAGACTTTCTTCAGGCATATATATTACATATATTGTGACCTAAACTCGAGGTTCTCAATACTGTTCTTGGCCATAATATATGGCAGATGCAATCTATACATTTTGGCCTGATTTTTTTCCAAGTCTGACGTTTTTAAACATTTACCTTATTGCATGGTGTAGCATACGGAATTAGTACCAGAATCTAAGATAGGCATAGCAGATACTCTCTCCATCCCAAAATTTTTATCCAGTTTGTATTTTCAGTCTCAGTACAGTTTGAACTAGAAATGAAAATCCAAATCAGACAATAATTTTGGGATGGAGGGAGTAAAAGTTTTCACTCGTTTCTTTTGAAATGAACATCAATAATTCTCAGTTTTGCAGATAATGTCCAACGACGAGTATATAAGCGTGGAACATCGAGTTTTAGCCAACCCTTTTCGCGAGCCTCGGGTATCTGCTGCTGTATTTTTGCAGCCAAGCCTGAGAGATCAGTTGTATGGACCTTTGCCAGAACTTGTCTGCTAAAAAACCAGCTCTTTTTCAGCATGTGAAACTCGCTGACTACGTGACCCGATATTTCTCAACGGGGCTAAATGGCAAGACCGCTATGAATTACTCCCTCCGTCCTTATTAGGCATTTTAATTTCGTCCTAAATTTAATTTAGGATATCTTTTTAATTAGAAATAAAACCTTAAAAATATATTTTCATATTCGTTGTATTCTCTTGATTATCATAAAATATTTTTAAGGTTTTTATTTGAATTAAAAAGATATCCTAGATTAAATCTAAGACGGAATCAAAATGCCTAATAATTAGGACCGGAGGGAGTACTACCGAGTCTAAATACCCCGACGGATTATGGGAAAATTGTGAAGTGAAAAATTTGTACTCTATCCTATAATTATTGTTTAGTTTGGGTTTGAAAACTACAAGCTAACGCGAAGATGTATGAATCTTGTTTATAACTCTATATATCTTTTGTTCACTATTTATTTGGTACAGAAACAAAGTTCACATATAGCTTAGATCGATTCTCGTGCAGTCCTTTCTTGTGATAAAAACTGAATTCCTTGATATGATCAAAGAATGAGTTCAAGTCATTTTACAAAACCAACCAATGCTGTATGAACTGCTCGTATGTGTAGGCTTTTTCACCATTCTGTAATTATCTTTTATTATTCATCGCAGGGCAAAGCCAGGGATTTTCCGGGTCACTTCATCTCTTTTTTAACGAATTCCCACGTATCCAATATTCTCTTTTTCTTTAAAAAAAACAAAGAGAAAAAAGATAAGATGAGGTCATTCTATTCAAACACTAATCACATTTAGGTTAATTCATTCTTGATGAACAAAAATTTTATTTATTTATTAAGAGGAATAGTCTTAGTCAAATTCACCAATCGAATTCCAATCTCATGCTATTCGCTTCTACTTCCCCACCTAAATTCAACCAACCCCATCAGAAGCATGTGGCAAGATTAAACTTATTCAATTTATTTAATAAATAATGATACATGCAGGAAAAAATAATAAGAAATTAATGATAACCATTCATTTTTAGCACGAATAATGATACATACAGGGAGATATGACAAGTAATTGATCATAAGCATTCATTTTTGATACTTTCCATTTAGAGTTTGAGCATTTAAGGTTAGTGCATAGTTTAGTTGATTGACAAATCATTTCTTGTAAGTATTCCTTTTAATTTTTCTCTATATGTATCATTACTCTTTTAGCACTTTTCATTTAGGATTTAAGCATTGAGTAGTGATAGACAACTCGAAACAACTTCTCGAAAATCCATCGCAAAGGAGCTGACCATCCAAGTTGTAAAGTCCACATCAGATTTTTTGTTTTCTTTTTTAATTGGATAAATAAATTCCCAAAAAAAACCCTCCAAAATCAAAAAGTTGCAGCGCCTCCAAGCCCTTCTCCCCCAACTCCTCTTCGTCAAATCAATCCGTCCAAATATAGGCGTCGGTCTGAAATTGTAACCAGTACCTTCTCCGATCTTCATTAATTCGGCAAGGCTGATTAATTTTATAACTCAATAGAGTCAGACAATTGTCTCTTCTTCTTCACTCGAGTTCTGAACATTTTAATTTGAAAATTTAAAATATTTAGGATGATTGTGGAAGTTTAAGATTCAATCGATGACTTAGTTTAACTTTTGCAAGTTTGTAACAGCTAGGTTGTACATTATTGTCTACGAGAAGATATGAGAGTAGCAGTTCTGTGAGATAGAATTGATTACTTTGTTTTTGTTTGCAAACTAAACAACGGTTTCTAATTTTCAGTGACTACGGAAGGAGGTAATAATTCCATAGAACAACAGAACAAAATCAGAATATTGAGTTTACTACAATATGATGTACAAAGAAAGTAAAACCCATGCCGCTGATCTATCGAGATGAAAAGGTCCTAAATACAGTGGGAGAAAGGGCAATGGCTATAAAGGACAATCGAATAATCAGTGGCTTTTAATCAAATAAAGGACCCAAAAAAATAAGAAAGAAAGAGTTGCAATCTTCAATTAAATCAACTACTGCAAATAATCAATAATTTTTTGGAAGTAAAACAATTAATAAGGATTGGAGATTAATCAGTCTCATTGAATTGACGAGGATTGGAGACCAAGGGCTGGTTACGACGACGGTGACCGATAGATTGAGGGAGAGGAGGTGTTCGGTCGAGCAGCTTTTTTATTTTAGAAGGTTTTTTTTTTCCCTTCTAGGATTTTATACAAAATAAAATAGGCTGACGTGGAGTTTACAACGTGGATGGCCAGCTCCTTCGTGATGGATTTTCGAGATGTTATTTCAAAGTAAGTATCATTTTTCTTAAGTATTTAAATTTAAGATATAATTTAGATGATTGACAAATTATTCCTTGTAATTTTTGAATGCATGTATTATTACTCTTTATTTAAATACATATGCACGAGAGAGGGAATGAATAATCTCACCAATTTCATATAATAGTATGACAACAAGATACCAACAATACAAAATATAAGTTACTATCTCCGTCCCAAAAAAATAGTCTATATTGAGTTTTTATATTTGTATTAAAAACAGTACAAAACTCAAAACTCAATATGAACTATTTTTGTGGGACGGGGGGAGTATTTATTAATTTTCTTCAATTTAATTATGAAACACACCCGTGAGCAAATATCAACACGAGGGAATTCAAAGTTAGAAATCTTAAAGAAGTAAAAGAAAATATATAAACACTGAAATTTCTTTGTGAGGATTCAAAAATTAAGTCCTTTTAACAACCCTTCTTTGGTTATAGCTTGGACTGCTTTGGATGTACTGAATCCTTCTATTTACAAGTCATACCTAATGAAGTGGAAGTAAGAAATTAAGGGGGAAAATTAATTAATTTCTAAGGTACAGAGTTAGACATTAGCGGGAAGTTGTTTGCTCCTGTTCAACCTCTCCAGAAGAAAGCCTCGTAACTAATTTATCTAATGCTTCTTTCATCCACCAATGTTTGCATACTTCTCTTGCTTCCGCTATTGTCATCTGCATTCATAAAGATGATTTGCAACAACAATAGTCATTGTTTAGTATAGGTTATAATTATGTACTTCTATCGTCCAAAACAAATAGTCGAATTTAAAATGTTTTCTTGAAATAGAAGATTTAATATTTGTATAATTAAAATAGTCGTAAGAGATTTTTTTTTTCCAAAATTATTGTACCGACCATGCAAAAGACAAAGTATAATAATAATAATAGTATAAAATAATGGTACTAGTCAAAAAAGAGGTGCAGCATACCCATTCCCTTTTGCGGACATTGTGTTCAGGCCAAAGCTCAAGTTGTTGAGTAACAAACAAAGGAAACATGTAGCCTTCGTGATATATCTCCAGGCTTTTGCTCTTAAATCTCCATATACCTAATTGTTGCTGCAAAATATACATGAACCACCAATCAGAACCAGTTCAAACTTCAAACCTTTGATTAATCTGTTTAACAACTTTCCTGTGAACCAATTTTTTTCTTTTTTTTTCTTTTTTTTGGCTAGTAACAAACAATGTGGGTGGGTGGTTACAACTTTCATGTATTCTTTTCAATCCAAAATGATTATTTTTTTTAATACCATTCTAAAGAATAGAGATAAAATTAGAGTATTTGTCCAAAGAGTATATAGAATTGTGTAATTATGAAAAAGTCGACGTGGTTCGATTGGAACCACAACCACATGATCATATTTTCATATTGAAAAATTTTTAGAACAAACTAATTTGTATGATTAGTTGACTAAATCCAATGACTGCGCTGATCTCTGTATCTCATTAATTGATTACTACTGCATTAAATGAGCTGAAAGAGTAAAATTTAATGGTCAAGGCAGAAAAGTCTTACTCATAAAATTCAGTTGTTAACATAGAACATAGGGCTAAGTCGAACATGAGAACTTACCTCAACATTACCCACCACTCCAGCTTCTTCGAGCGATTCCCGAGATGCAGCTTCCACTATAGATTCATCAAGTTCCCAACCTCCCTGCAGAGATTGATATCAATAATTAATTCTTGTCAAACTTAATTAATTCGTCGTTAATCTCCCTCCATAACACAAGATTTGTTCGTCCCAAATGATCAACCAAACAGAACAATCATTTTAAGAGATCAGACGTAGCAAATATTTACCTTGGGGAACATCATTTCTTGGCCCTTTTGTGAACTGATGACAAGAACCTCTACTTGATCATGATGTGCCCTTCCATTATTAGTGTCGTCTTCCTTGAATCTATATGGGATGCAGCTGAAAAAACATTGGTTTCATCTTAAACATCAGTACTCATTAACCGCAATGAAACATCGCTATAATCATTTTTATTTGATCCCTTCAAAGTTAATGGAAAATCCCCCCTAAACAAGGGAAAAATAATAATAATAATAATAGATCATGCGTACCCAACAACGAGTCGACGGCCGTTTTCATTGTACCTCTGCAAATGTCTTCCTGTACGAGAAATGAGGGAAACCATCTTGCAAAACCCTAGTTAGCTCTTACTTACACAAAGCACAAAATCTTTTTGAAGGGAAATAAGCGAATTTTGTGATCGATCAAACTACCACAAGAAGCCACATATATAAATAAGATGATGTAGATTGTGGAGAGATATGAATGGATAATAAATGAAGACCAAGTGGGCTTATAAGATAGTTCAACTGAAACTTCATCCCGAGCTTTGATTTGGTAATAATATAAGAAAGGCAGAAAAGGATGAAAATGGTGGGCGAGTGGGGCGGCATGGCGGAATATGTCAGGGTTGTCGGAAGAAGGGTTTGGCGTGCTACGTATGACCTTGTGGCTACTATTTGCCTACTTCAAACTTACTTATAGGGATTGGATTTGTCAACACTAGCTCTATATCTATTAATTTACTCCTTCCAAAATAAATCAGTAACGTGACAATTGTGTCTTACGTGTTAAATTTAAGAATTAGAAGTTGCGACTTTTTCTATCTATATATAAAGTAATATAGAACAATTATATTCTATGTACACCCCGTCTTAAAGTTCAAATCCGAGATATAAATTTGAGAGATTACATTAACTAACAAACATTTTATTCACTATTATGCTCATGTCGACGTTTAGATTATGATAATCACAGTTAAACATATATGTATCATGTACCATTAGCATCTTCCAAATTGATCCTTGAGCTAGTTATTCTCCTAGTACATTTTTAACTTATTGAATATTGATACTAATCTCTCATTTGATATTACTTTTCTTAAAACTTTTTTATTTTCCCGGTTCATTTATTATCCCTGGGGATGACAGTGAACTTTCATTTGTAAAGAGTAAATCAAATACTCCACCTTTTATGTGTTCTTCTTTAATTGGAACGTAACTTGCTTGAAAACACAAAACACATCACCATTTTAGGCCGCTTACGGAGTAGGTTCATTAATTAGGAGAAATCATCAATTAGATCACGGATAAATTTGTCTATCTCAACGTTACTTTTTAGTCTTAAAAATTATTCTTTGTCGACAATTATTATAAGACGGAGAGAATACTTATCATTCCAAGAACTTACTTAGAAGTCATGATTTGCATTAATTAACACAATGAAGAAGAAAGACAGACGCGTCATGACTCACGTCGCAGTCCATGATGCATTTTAGTCGTATGAGTCGTGTGCTTCTGTGTTATTTCTTCATTCAAATGAAATTTTGTTACGAATGTAATGTAATGTGGGCTTGAATAGGGCCATTTTGATCTTGTTATTGATACGTCCTTCGGTCTGAATTGACGTGAAATTGTCTTGTTTTATATACAGTAGCTTTTGTTTTTCTTTTTTGGTACACATTACATCATATACGTATAACACCTCACATGCAAGCTCTTCTTATTTAAGTTTATTTTGTGCATTTGAGACATTTCAGAAATGATACGCTAAAATAGAGTATCATCGTACTGATCATGATCCATTTTGATAATTTATTGGTAAATTCCACATGCTAATTTATTAATTAATCCTAGTACTAGCACTTCACTCGCTCTATTCCATCTTTCACGCGGTTAATCACAAAAGAAAAGGCTAACTTGATTTCTTTTGATCACATGAATCACATTAATTAACAAATAGATCGATGTCAATCTATATAAACCCTACTTTGTTTAATGAGATCAGCTTTCCAATCCTCCATGTTTTGCTCATGTCCCATTTCCAAAAATATATATATTCTTTAAGAGTGAAAGAGATTTCTAGGGGAATACTATATGTTTTTCTCTTTCATTAATTAATTAATCTCATTTACTATAGATCTTCTTGTTAATTTAGCTATCTTATTAATACAGGCAACAACAGTCCGTAAACCAAAAACAATTACGAGTAAAATATTTTAGATGTGCATGCATGTAACTGCATGCATGTGGTCATCAATTTATTCAACAAATTGTCGTTTGCTCAAATATTAAAACCTGCTACTTGACTCTTAAATTTTAATAATCTTTGAGAAGCATAACTACTTTACGTAAATGTACCCAGCCAGATTGATTATCATACAAATGTATTGATCTCTCACTTTCACTTTGTGTGCATGACAGTCAAATGTGTTGATGAAATACGACTTGGAATAAAAATTAAAAAATAAAATTAAAAAAAAAAACTCACTCTATCACATTCTTCTTCCTTTTTTTCTTAATTTTAACAATGGTGCTAAGTGTTGAATATATAGTTTAACGTAAATGCTATTTACATTTGTATTTGTACCCAAAATAACAGTTTTATTTGTTTAAATTAAATCAAAACTCGTATTCTAGGACGGAGAGAGAGCGATGATTTCTTTTTTTTTTATATATTAATCGTTAGTTTTTGTAGATGAAAAGAACCGTACGTCAATAATAGTTTTATCATGTAAATATAAATTTGTTAGAATTTTCGTGTTAGTCTACTGCGTCCAGATTGGACTGTGCTGTCTTCTTCATCTTTTGACTAGGCATCGAAAGGCAGAGTACTAACTACTATTCAATATTCATCAGAATTAATTCGGCTAAATTCAGTGGATTCCCTAGTAAACATTTTTTTATTGCTCTTGGGATTTTCAACCAGTACCCATCACTACAACAAAATTGGGCAATTGATATCTTTATAGTCGGACATTTTTTCTAAAATATGTCTCATTATATGTGTATTAGGACATTTGCTAAAAAGTGTCTTATTAAAAATAAAAGAGTGTATGCATGTTATGAAACACTATCATAAGTGTACTATGTGGGGTTGCTTGTGAACTATTACCCTACTTAATGGGTCATTTTAAAGTGTCTTAATAAGTGACAATCTAATAATACACTTTCAAATATTTTATGACTTATTGTGACTCAATTATACGAGACACTATTTAGTAGTATCCCACGCAATGTGAATCACATGTGTCCTATTACGCTACTTATTGAGACACAAAAAAATGTCTAAACTACTCATTTTTGTTGTAGTGCATCAAAGTTGTCCTTGTTTACTTTAGTTTATCATCTTAATTACGTTCTTAATAATAGGCATAATCGTAAAAAAAAACACTTGTGTTATCTTTCTACCTAAACAACTATTGATTTGAAATCATTAACTCAAAAGTTGACACGGTCTCCCATTAATTATCAAACATAAATGTTTTTTTTTTTTTTCCGAGAGTAGTACGTAAAAAATGCTCAGATGTACAACGTCATCACAAGTGAAATAAGTTGGTCCGATCCAATGTTCATAGTAATAGTCCATTCTTTTACAGTACTTTACGGTACAACAAATTGGAAAATTGGGTGAAAATGAATTACTACTAGTAAAACTAATATTTTGCGTATGTTTGTTTATTCATCACGCAAAGTTTCAACATTGGACCACAGCGTTATATTGTTGCTCATAATTTTTAACTGTCCGTTTAAAAAAGAAAATAAAAAAGATATGGCCATCGTTAATTTTACTGGAAATAAGTCGTGTATTCATGAATATTGAATCCTGTCCTTGAAAAAGTGGTCGCAACTCACGTGTGACGGAAAACTTGTAGATGCATCGACATCTAACCATTTCTAGCCCACAACCTGAGAAAAAGAAAAGAAAAGAATTATTTTTTTTTCTTTTGAAATTGAAACGAAAATTCGAGTCCCTATAATTTGACATCTTTCTGGAAATAATTTATGTGATTGATTTGAAATTTTTTTTTTTTTTTTTTGGTACAATCAGAAGGATACAAAGTCTAGTTACAAGAAATCAAAATATAACGAGAATAGTAAACCCCCATCAAATCATGATCTAAACACGAGCACACCGTTCTCAAAGTGTTATACTCACTGTTCTCAAAGTACTAATGTAGACCCGTAATTCAAGTAACTTTTAATGTAAATTTACTAACAAAAGCCAAATTTCTTTCTCCACGTCTTCCTATCATGGGATAATAGGGAAATAGTAATCTCTCCATTTCATCCCCATTTATTGTTCTTTTTCATTCCCATATCATTTCCAATCGTTAATTCTAAAATTATATTAATTCTCTAATTGTATTCTTCATTAGGCTGTGATTTATGGGTTGTGCAGTTTAGTCTTTCAGCAGATTTCGCTCTACTCTTTGAGTAATGGTTTGGTTCCTGATAATCTCATCATCAATGATACATGTTTTCGTGCCCTTTAACTCAAGAAGATTCTGTTTTTACAGATTTATTCACTTTATATGCCATTTTCGGTCTGCACAATAAACACAGTTAAAAATGTTTTGGTCTACAGTTTTGTAATGACTCGTAAATTGTGTTTTCCTATTATTTTTAATCCTTATCGGACAATTTCCCGTGAATAGAAATTTAATACTTATTATTTGTAATTAAAAAAGAAATTAATTAGAGACGACTACGAGACATATCTTTTATTTATTATTCCCTTCTAACTAAAGTGAAAAAACTAGAAACAGGCCTTCTGCTCATCTTTTTTTTGCGTACTCAATTATTTTAAGCCATCAAGCAATTCGTTGAATTTATTATTTTTCTGTTCAACCAGTTCATTGAACATATTGGGTGGTTTTCAAGTTTCAACTTTATGGACATGGTGATGTGGTAAATGATTCAGAACGCAATCAGATTGGAAGAGCCGTGAAGGCCTCTATAGCATCATAATTTGGAAATGTACTTTGTTTTTCCTTACTACTTTCTTTCTCTTTTTTTTTTTATACACGAAATTAAAGGAGGCAAAATAAAGTTTTTCCTTTGGGTAGTAGCTACTTACATATAGCTTTAGGGTGGATGTAGCCATCTAGGCTAATCTATTAGCTAGTCCCATAATGAACTAAGTCTGCAACCAACTACATTTGTTTTGTATACTACACCGTATCTAAATAACTCAAGTTAAATATATATTTCTTATCAATATAATATTGGTCCAATTGATAAATCCTTTGTATTATTATAATTTTTCCTTTAAGAGTTTATCTTTTTTGAAGTTAGGGTCTATTTATTTTAAAATTTTAAATGTAAAAATATCAAAAAAGTCTATACATTTAAGAAAATCATAATTAACTCCACTTATTACATTTCACCCAATAATTAAATGTCATGTAAGGTGCAATTATAATATAGAGCTCCTAGGTACACCTTTACCTAGTTTAAAATTCACGCGCCCAAAAAAGGGGGGGAGGGGAAAGGAGATTTTTAAATCTTCAATTTCTGGATATTCCTCCTAATTTTCAGTCATCATTAATCATATTCAACTTCCTATTTCAATCCAAATACGTCTCAAACAAAAAAAAAAAATCCAAAAAACTAAATATTCTCTGCGGCGATTTGGCATCAAAACCTCTCG